TATGACCTAAAACGGCCACGTCCTTTTCGCTTGCCACCCTTTGCTCTTCCCGGTGATCCGGGACGCATTCTTGGTCTTCTTCCCTTTTTGAATCTCCTTGCAACGAAGGCTTCATGGTCGTCAACTGTCCAAGAAGACAGCTTCTTCATCCTCGGCGGCAAGAAAGCCTTCCTCAAGGGTGTCTTCGTCTTGAAGCCAGAATCCATCGACTCCGTCGTATTCACCCTGATCGAGGATGAGGAAGTTTCGACCTCCGCGTTTGCGGCGTTGATCTCTCCTTCCATGGCGGTCCTTCTTGTGAGAAGTGTGCCGAATATTGGGATCCTGCAGACCAGTTCTGGTCGTTGAGAACTGATCGAACATGGTCTGCCGTACTATAGGGTACGTGTAGGTCTCAATTCGGTAACCTTGGTTGGTCAATGCTGTTACCAACCTCTCACGTTGCATCTCATTTAGGTCGGACTGCACTAGGAAGAGGAGAGCTAGGAGATTATCATTTAGAGGAAACGCTCTTCGATGATTATCAAGGCGTTCCTTGTTCCATGTTTCGAAGAAACGTGCGGCGTATGTGTCTCTCTCGGTTGCATCCTGTAGGCGCATGAAGGTTTGATCTGCTTGCACAGCCTGCATGAAATCCGGATGGGCATCTTCCAGAACTATCTCTGGTAAGAGATCCATCCATGAGTTTCTCACGCGCTGTAGCACGATCTCAAACTTAGCAATCCAAGTCACAAAGTCTTGGTTGCCCTTCCATGCCTTGAATAGGCCGAGGAAACGCCACAGGAAAACGTACTGTTCTCCTTTCACGAAAAATGGACGCATCTTCTTCTTGAAGTAATCTACTCCATCTGGGGCTGCAAGCCTTTCTCGGTTGAGTGATTCCTTTTGTACTGCGGCCAATCCGGAGAGCCTCGTCTTGAGAGACGGACCTCTTTTGGTGTCATCCAGCGTTGTTATGTCACACCAGTCGTCAATCAGCTGTTCATACTCAAACCACGAGGTGGTGCCATCATAGGCAGGCGCGATCTTGGGCGTTATGCCTAATGATGCAAGCATGCGGTCAGATGTTGCATATGACTGTGCGACATAAGTAGCTGGACCTTGGGAGGTCTCTTCGTTCTCATATCCCCCGGAGGATTGGGAACTGCCGTCGGCTTCGCTATGCGAGCTCGACATTGTGCTGCCTCTGATCCGCTTGGTTAAGCGTTCGGCGAGGCCGACCGCTGTAGCGGACTTTGTGAGGCGGGCGGCCCTTTCCGGGCTCCGCTACCAGAAAACTGTGCCGATACACCCCCAAGGGATACTCCTTGTAAGGAGGTGTATGACCAGTTATTCCCTAAGGATCAAAGGGCAGCGCCCTGCACACGGACAGTAGTTGTTTTGTCTTGCTACGCAAGGAGAGCTTGTCTTGTCTCAATATGGTAAAACCACTTGAGCCAATGGGCAGCGGAATGTATATGTATGAGCATGCAGCCATTGCTGTAGGTACCTGTTAGAGCTACCCCTTTAGAGGTTTATGGTTTCACCCCCCCTAGACCCCCTTCTCTGCCCCCTTCCCGGCTGACCTCTAATTCAGCACCCCCTTCCCCCCCTGAACCCACCCCCAACCCCAGAATCCACCTCCACCCTTATCCCTCTATACCTCACTACCCATCCCTTCCCCACCTCCTCACCTTTCCCTCCCCTTTGCCATTTGCCCCCTGCCCCCTGCCATCTCCATCATATCCATCACCCCCATCATCTTCTTCATCTCCATCATCTTCATCATCTCCATCATCTCCATCATCTCCATCATCTCCATCATCTTCATCATCTCCATCATCTCCATCATCTCCATCATCTTCATCATCTTCATCATCTCCATCATCTCCATCATCTTCATCATCTGCATCATCTTCATCATCTTCATCATCTCCATCATCTTCATCATCTGCATCATCTTCATCATCTTCATCATCGTCATCATCTTCGTTGCCGGTTTCATTGGTTTTAATACCGCCCCCTCTATTCTTAAAGGTAATTTCATAGGTATTGTACGAACCATAATACAATCGATTTATCTTAACTACTATATCAAGAATAGCTTACCGCATCGCATCTACATACTTTGTAACCGGGCTTACTATAAAGGCCCCATATGAGGGATCCATAATGGGTTTCTAGAAAGTCTCTCTGTAAGGGATCTATAGTTTTTTATATAATGGATTTCTATAGGGTCTCTACATAGAGGATCTATAAGATTTCTATAAGCAATCTGTAAGGGTTTTCCAGAAGGGCTCCATACGAGGGATCTATACAGGGCTTCCATGTGGTTTCTACAAAGGGTAAGGAATATATAGCAGTTGTCTATGAAAGCTCCATGTAGGGGATCTTGCAAAGTTTTCTACAAAGAACTCCATTTGTTGATCTATACGGGGTTTCTATAAGTTCTCTATATAGAATCTATAAAGGCTGTCTATGAGGGCTCCATACAAGGGATTTGTGAAGGGATCTATAGGGATTCTTCATGGGAATGTATACCTGCGATACGGATAATTGCGCCTTTGTTAAGATCGTGAAGACTATTAACTACGTGGTATCCTTCTTGGCTAATGCTGTGATCACATCAGATCTGATATGTATAGAGATACATTGGAAGGCACATGGGAAAACAAACTGACACATTACAGGCCTTCTAATGTGTCATTATTCCTATTGAAACCCTAAAGGCAAGGAACTTATACACTGTAGGGCATCTGTATATTGGAAGGCCTCTGGGTAGTATAAATTGACGCATTGCAGGCCCTCTAATGTGTCACTCCACTCCCTCCTATGGAACCTCTATTGCAATGGAACTTTTCCACTGGAAAACCCCTGGACATAATAAACTGACACACTGCAGGCCCTATAATGTGTCGCTCCACCTATCCTATTGAAACCCTACTGATAAGAAATTGATACATCGGAAAGCACTTTTTATGGACATAACAAACTGGCACATTAAACCCACTATAATGTGTATCTTCACTTCCTGGGTCCTGGACTGGGCAAATTGACATATTACATGCCCTCTAATGTGTCACTCCATTTCTCCTACTGAAACCCTACTAACAAGGAACTTATACACTGTCAGGCCCCTGTACCTGGGCATATCAAATTGACATATTACAGGCACCCTAATGTGTCACTCCACCCACTCCGATTGACCCTCTACTGACAAGGAACTTATACACTGGAAAGTCCAGGACATAACAGATTGGCACATTACATGCCCTGTAAAGTGTTACTCCACTCCCCCTGTTCAAACTCTATTGACCTGGGCATAACGAATTAACACATTACAAGCCCTCTAATGTGTCACTTCATCCCTTCTATTGAAAGTATATTGACAAGGAAAATCCTACTTTGGAAGGCTCCTGGACACAGCGACCTGACACATTACAGACCCTCTAATGTGTTACTCCATTCCCCATGGAAACCTATTGACAAGGAACTTATACACTGAAGCGACCCTGTATATTGGAAGGCCCCTGGGCAGAACAAACTGACACAATATAGACTCTCTAATGTGTCACTCCACTCCCGCCTATCGAAACTCTTTTGGCGAGGAACTTATACACTCGAAAGCCCCCAGACAGAACAAACGGACGCATTACAAGCCTTTGACCTGTCACGCCCACTCATCCTACTGAAGCCCTTTTGATATGAAGCTGATACATCGGAAAGCCCTTCTTACGGACAGAAGAAAGTGGCACATTGCAGGGGCTATAATGTTTCTCTTCACTTCCTGGACAGGGCGAACCAATACATTACATGCACTCCTCCTATTGAAACCCTATTGACAAGGAACTAGTTTGTTCAGACCTGGCTTGCCTCAGTAGATATATGTAGCATATGTAACAACAGAATATAACAGGCAACGAGTTGTAGTAAGTGTTGCGACAGCATCATGTGATATGGATGTGTCATGCCGTATGTATTCCCATAATTTGTCATATGAACACATCCGATTCATGAGTACCGAACCTGTCAGGTTTTGCATTCCGGCCTGTGCGGAAATTACAAACAAATTTATGCCATATTACAGCGTGCATGCTTATTACGTGATTCTTGGATGGATATGTCGTATGCAATTACTCAAGCGCTGGCAAGTCAACAATAAGTCGAATTGTGAAATATTTGGACAGGACAATTTGTCCATGTTGCCGATATACTGCTGACAGTGCTATGCATATCTCCACGACGATACATCATTCCTGCAAGATGTATGGACTCTATACACTGAAATGTGTCATCACAACGAATGTTTATTCATCGACAGTGTTGGGATCAACACTCGATGTTCTGTTTATATAATACTCGTCTCCCTGAATGCGAGTAATTTGCTATAATTACTTGATAGAAAATATAGCTTAGTCGATCCGAAACTTTTCAGGTCGTGGCTTTGTAATGTGGGCTGTGCTTATACCTTATATTTTGCTTTCCATTATGTGCTGAAGACAACAAACCGCGGTTATATAGACCCTAAAGGTATCGGGCACATATATATATATATATGTGTATACACATATTTTTATATGTACACATACGTACATACCATATACATGTATGGCTCCTGTGGAACATCGGGTGGGTGTACCTATAGGGATGTCCTGTTGAGGAGAGCGGGCCTAAGCACGACCGAGCCACCGGATTGCGCCGGGTGTCCTGGTGGCGAGACAGCGGCAAAGCGAGGCAAAGGCCAACCAATTGACAAATTACTTGATGAAGACAGAAGGAGTGACAAAGGGATGGACAAGGAAGGAACCGCAGGGAAACACGGGAGGCAAGGGGAGCAGCAACATGGCGACAGCCACCAGAATTCAGAATGGCGTTAATCTCTAGAGGAATGTGGAACCCCAGCATTCAAGTTACTTGGGAAATTGAGGTTCCCCACCCCTGCGATAGCGGAGCGTAGCCCTCCTCACCACTCTTCGTTTGATGTTCGAAACTGGATGTTCAATTCTGAGACAACCTCGCAGATGTCTGAAGGCATCAGCCGGGGCTTCGCAGCCTATTTGGACATCGAGGATTGGCGTCTCACATCTCATGACTGCTTGGAGGATTGGGAGACATAGCAAGCAAGGTGCTGTAGACGCTTGCTCAGAAGGACAACCCTACATGCCCGATTTACCCCTACTTGCTAAGAATACTGAGTCTTGCAACCATCAAAGCACATGTTGTCTTTCACGCGCACGGATTCTAGTTGATGCAAGAGGGATTGCAGATATTATGAGGTGTAGGGATTCTTGGTTTGGTGAGCTATAGAGTTCTCTACTAGTGAATGTCTGTAAGCGGTGTCCTTTCGGGGGGAACCCGACATAGAGCGACTTCATCCCGCAGTCACCCGAGGTCACCCAGAATAGCTCTTTCAACAGGAAGCAGGGGTCTACTTCTTTTAGGGTTCCCTTAAATGAGTTTTGGATTGATTCTACATGACACCAACTTGCCGAGATGGAGTTTGAGGATTCAATGCCCTTGTTGGTCGCTGTTCGGGCTGCCCAGCTTCGTTTCTTCAGTCTTCTCACTCATCGCCAGGAAAAGCTGGCGACGGAGAAGATGCTTCTGAACATGACGGATTCTTCATTCATCACCCGGCTGCATGCTACGCCTTAACCCCATCAGCAAACGTTTCATGCCATGTGACAGGTCATGACCAGTCAGTTGGGTTCATGTGCCTTTCTGTTTTGATTACTGTAGGCATTTGGACGCGCAGTTCATGTACCTTATCCTGGAGCCAACACCTCAGTTGGCGAGAGCTTTCAGCGGAAGCGCAAACGGTCTTTTCTTGCCATGTCAGCCCCAGACTACACTTACCCGAATGAAAACAAGACTAGGGTTGGGCACTGTATCTTTCATAGTACTCTTGATTGAGATCTGCGTTGTTAGGGGTGTGGAGTACATGTAGTCTGAAGCTCATCTGAGGCCAGCCTTGGGGGGGAGCCTCAAAGAAGTTTATGAAAGAGAGGCGATGTTTTTGATGTTGGAAGTGTTTCATTTGCGGCCCGCTGGCCGCTAGCTTGGCGCTTGCAGTCGTTTCACGACATGATCCACGTTGTCAAGTACCACACTGCAGGCATCGTGCAGCCCTCAACAACCCCTCAGCTCCGAAATGCTTTGAAGGAACTTTGTGCAACACCCACGCGCTCCAGGCGTTGGCCATCGGCCACTTGCACGAGCGACAGATATGTCATCGGTGGACTGCCAAGCTCAACTAGCTCAACTGCTGTGCTTGCGGTCTGTCGCGATTTGCATAGCGCAGGGACCTGAAGCCTGACAACATCCTCCTCAACGAGAAAGGCCACATAAAGGCCGGCTTTGAGAAAGCCTTCAGGCCAGCACGTGCTATTCGAGATGGTCCATTTGGAGAAGGTGTGCGATCTCGGGTTGGCGAAGCGTTTCTTTGAAAAGGCTGGCTCAGTAAAACCTCGCTGCGGCTTTGAAGTATGAACATCTTGCAATTCTTCCCTTGCTGCAGACGGCCACCTTTTGTGGCACAGCACTTTACATGGCGCCAGAGATCCATGCCGGGCGCGAGTCTTACGAACGACCGTAAAGCATGGAATTTCAAGTCGCAGCAAGTGTTCAAACCGGCCTCTGTTGCCGCGGTGGCCTGTGCCCTGTGCTTAGGAGATGGTATACACATGCAGTAGACTGGTGGTCCTTTGGAGTCATCGTGTACGAGCTGCTGTGCACCCCTGAGCTATCGTGGACTCCGTATCGCTCAGGTTATGCAACTGGATACGTGTAGTGATGCTGTCCAGGTCTGGGCGTAACCCCTTTGTGGCGTGCTAATCTTAGTTTGGCTTTTGTGGGTTGTTCCGCACTGGCTTGCTGGATGAGCTGAAATGGGATGGTAATGATGTTTCTGGCAAATCCAACTCCCACCAAAACGTCAGTACCGATCCTGCGGAATCTTACAAGTCGAAATTGAGAGACTTCATAAATGAGCGAATGTCTTCGCGTCCGCTCCAAAATCAAAGATTTTCTTGAGCTCACCTTCGAACCCAAGACAGATGGTGGACTTCTCAACACGAGTGCGTGGTTCTCAAAAGTTAATCGACATCAGCCGCTTTCCTACCATCGCCGAAAAACCAATCTTTGTTCAAATGGTTAAGCAAAATCATGCGAAAAAGATTTTCACACAAGGAGATCGCACGAACATAAACCATTCTCCGCAAATAGGGTGGGCCACCCTCCACAACAGAGGATCGGGCGACTTAGTAAGAGGACAGCCCGACATGAACTTCCATAGGCTAGAGGTGTTGCACCGGGGCACTTTGAGCAATCAGCCTTAAACATAGCAGCTGAGGTGGGTTTGCCAGGTTTGTTTGCTACATGTGCCCTCGGTGCCTTCGCACCTCCTGGAATCCAGGAGCAGCGTTGACCCTGCATTTGTGACAAGACATGGGGCAATATATGGTTGCATTGCCTTCTTGAGAGAACCAGTGAACCAGTACCCACAGTCCTCGTGTTCCGACGTGTGCCAGAAGTGAACAGGCTGAGAAGGGTGGGCCTCCAATTTCCCCTCGCCTTAAGGCGACCGGGCTGTCCTCATGAAAACCACCGCCAATCTTGCAGCGGATAGTGCAGAAAGGAGTTGAGGGTTCCGCTTGTGCCACAACGCATGCCTCCTGGTGTAGGCTGCCTCGTCACGAGCTCAGATCGCACAAACCCTCACTGACCTCAGGCCGACCCAAGGCCAGATTCGCGCGAGCGTGATGCCGGCCGCTTAACAACTTCGTGGTGAGTGCACGCGTCATTAATTTTTTGTCCGACGCGGAGAGGAAGGGCATCCGCAACTTCGGGTCAATGCAGCCAGACTGCGTGGACTTCATCCGGGCTGGAGGGGGTTTCGGGTAGAGCGTAGGTGTGTGGCTGCTTCTTGAATTTGCGCAGGTGGCTTGCGCAGCAAGGCCCCCATTGGAGAGGTTGAAGGCACGCCGACATGAGCCTGGTGCAGGCGATGCTAGCCCTAAACAATAATTGAAAGATCCAAAACCCTATAAGACCCTCCCTCCTTCAATCCCCGAAATTCCAAAACAAACGCAACGCCACCAAAAACCCAAAGCACACGGCTCCCGTTGAGGCTGGGGGGCCATGGTCATCATGTTCAGAAAGTCAAGAAAATCGATGCTTCCACTCCTGAGTGAGATGCGAAGGGGATCTGTGCACGGGGCGCTTGGGCGGCTCGTTTGACGATCGCGACTCCGAAGACTGCCCGTGGTATGGGCAATGCCTTCTGTGTCTTGTGTATTGCGTGATTGCAGCGCAAGGCCATGCGGTGGTACCGGGACGTCCCGTGGGCAGGGGGCTCTTACACCGCATCAGGTTAATCCAAACTGTGAGCGCCCAAGCGCACGTGCACATGTGCGCTCAGGGGAGGATACAGAGGGGCGACGTGCCTGCCTCGTGGGTGCCAAAAAGGCAGCCGCTGGCGGGCCCGAGGTCCTTCCCGCGACACTTGCACCATGCTTGCACGAAGACGCTGCAGTGGATTTCCCTTGCATGGGAGTGGAGCTCCACTGCCAAGGTTCGTTCAGCACAGCGGATGAGGACGTTCTGCATGGATTTTCCCTGTTGTCTACTCTGGCTTGCTTCGATTTACAAGCGCGCGAACCCAAAGACGCCCGCATTAGGCAGGCAACGGCATCCATCAACATCACAAGCAAACAGCTGCAATACCGAACCAAGCAATCGAATTGTGTGTACTGCCTCACTACTTGTCACCCTCCTCCTGCGCACCTGATCACGATTGGCCGTTTAGCTACCACTACTACCATAACTACTGCTACAATCTACGCCCACCCTCACCGCCCCCACCACCACAAGCCATCGATCACCACCATCGCGAGGACGACGCAAGGGTTTTTTCTACCACCGCCAATACTACTGCTGCTGCTGCCGCCACTTCCGCCAACAACGCCACCGGATTCAGAAGTCAAGCTGCTTCCGTCACCCAAACCGGGGCACCTCCCCGGACAAGTCAATCGCTTCAGAGAGACTGGGAAACTGCGGGCGTGCCAGGCAAGCTGGGCCCTCCGGAATGGTTGTTTGCGTAAGAGAAAGATGCAGGGAGGACATATGCAGTCTTGTTGCAGAGCGACCAACAGTTATCTCAGCATTATCCCCTTGTATGCCCATTGGGCAAAATCGTGTTTCGAAATCCCGTGGGACGCGCGGTTTATGATTGATGCGGATACCTGTGTGTTGTCTTTTATGACGTGCATGGCTTTCCGACATCTTGGGCATGGGCGTGGCTTTGTGCCCCCAGGGCCTCCTACTGTTCTTACCCTCTGGAACTCTTACTCCTATTCTGTCATTCTGGTCTCACGCTCTGCTTTGCTCCTTTCCTTCTATTCATCGTCATGGCCGCCGTCATCTCTGGCTTACACGTAGAACTCCACGCCACATAGCTTTAAAGGATTTTGGCTTTTAGTAGGCCAACGAGCGGGAGTTCGACAGAATAGATACAGGTCCATGCCGCCATCCTAAAACCAAAAGCCGTAAACCACCGTAAACCCAAATCGAAAGCTGATTTCGCGCATGAAGCGAAACACAAAAACACTCGGTTTGAAGAACTTGTGTTCATGTTCTTGTCGGCAGAGCAGACGTTGCTGTAAACCGGCCCCTGCAAGCACGTGCTTAAGCAAGTCAGCGGTGCTGTAAGATCCACTTATCTCAGCCGCCGGCCCCAACTTTTTTTTAAACACTGTTTTGTTAAAGCTCGCCGCCGGGAAAGTTGGAGCAGTGCACCTCGAATGCTCCCAATTTGTCATGGTAGCTGTTCAGTCCTGCGCAGCTTCTTTCGAGGTGCGCTTGACTGTGGTAATCATGTGGTAATGGCCCTTGCGGCAAACTTGAATTGAAACTTCGGGGTGACGGCCATCCAACAAGACCACTCCAGGTTTTTTTTGGCGGGCTTGATTGCTTTTCGGTTGATACCTGACATGCACTCTGCTCGGTTGAATTTGAATGTAGTTTTTCAGTCCTGCGCAGCTTCTTTCGGGGTGCGCTTGACTGTGGTGGTGGCTTTTGCGGCTCTATAATGACAAACACTACTGCAGTCTTCAACCTCCAATCTTCAACCTCCAATTAAACCTACACAGTGTCGTGGCTACTATGTGTTTTGTGCGTCAGATTTACACAGTAGGTTTCCAAGATATCCCTTTTAGTATGAGACTTTGAACAGCTTGTGTCAGAGATGCTGCTTGCTCTTATTTTCCAGACAACACTTCCTTTTCCTAACTCATGATGAGTTGTGTATATGAAAATTATATATATAATGTTATATACATACGTTATATACCTGTATATATATACACATATACACGCAGCTAGTTTTCAGATCAAGCTTGAGTTGTAGGCATCAATGCGCTCGCATTGTGGTGGTCTACATTAAAAGTTTCGGCCTGACTGGGCCCTGACGTCGCTTCTCCTCTTCCTTCTTGACCACGAAAACGAGTTGAATCTGACAAAGACCATACCCCGAAAAGGTAACTAAATAAGGGACCTGAGGTAACTTTCGAAATCATGATTTACAGGTAGCAAGCATGATCTCCTCACATCAAGTAGCTATGCCCAGCTTGCAAAAAGGAACTACATGAATAAGTTGAGAACAACGGCACAACCTTATAGAACTGGATGAGGAAACGAAGCAAGAAAAGACAGCAAGTGAAACATATGACATACCCCAACTCTTGCGACTGTGTGGCGATGTGCTCAATGTGCTATTATGATTTCGCTGCGTGTGAAAGAATTTGTGTTGTTAGCCAGTATGAGTGATTGAAAAGCTGACCTGATTAGCGATGTTCATGATTTCAGAAGCATTCTTGGAAGTGTCCAGGAGGTAGGCTAAGAAGCGAAGCAGAACGACACCACAGCTGCGAATGATGTTTCATAATGCTTTGAGAAGAATGTCGAAAGGAAGAAATCCTCGGTGCAGAATTCTCGCGCAGCACCTTGTACAAACGATGAGTATGAAAAAGGCTTCGCTTCCGTTACGAACCTCCGAATCAGAAATTTGGTGCAGGGTTGGTTATTATGGCAGTTGACATGCGATTTAACATGTTGATGGCAGTATTGGCTATGAAGCACAATGGCACAGATGTTGTTTCGGCTTGGGTTCTGGAATGGCAACAGAAGATCGGAATTGCACTAAGATGAAGAAGATGGTGTTTTATGGCGAGTTAGAAATATGCAACCCGAGGGCATCCGAATTTTGCCGACAAAGGTACCAAGACATGTAAAGATAGACTAGTTAACAGAGTGTAGGTTGATGAAAAAGGGGTACGGCATGGACACGATGGACAGTCCACATGATTGAATAAGCTTGAACTTAAATCATTGAAGACAAACGCTATGGCACAGGAACAACATTTCGGCAAGAAGCGATGGGGAGACCACAAGTTATATGCATCATCAAATGTTGCACTACAGTCAGTACCTAACAGAAAACATTCAGAGCCTGATCTTGAAGGCAAGAGCTCGCGGCATGTTTGCGCACAGTGCACGCCTTTTCTTTTCCTATCTGTGCTGCGCTTGAAGGATCCTTTCCTGCTTCGGCATGCGGGCCTGTGGTTCTGGATCGTGGCCTTCGCCTGCACTGTATGAACCCCAGCGACTAAAGCCCTAAATCATGGCCTGCCCGTGAATTCGACTTTCATGCCTTCTCCCCGCTTTGGAGTGGGTTCTGGCACTTGGTCAGCTGGAGGGAGTGCCCGCGCCGCCGCGGATCGACGGCAAAGCTGAAAGCAGTGGCATGATCAACTAGCCGTAGTACTGTTGCCAGCTACTAAAGTTCTACATTTCGAGACACATAGCCAGGAAGCTGAGTAAATCCAGCGTCGGTTGCATGTTTCATTCCAGGCGAGACTGATTCGCCTGCGGACTTTGTGACGTCCCAAAGCGTACGTCAAGCGCTGGAAAGCTTGGTTTCAACATCTGACGAGCAGATCTTTTCTTGCCAGCCGGAGTTTCTCAAGGCAAAGCAAAACTGCATATTGGGGGATGCCGCGGGTTAGGTACTGCAACAAGATTTGAAAGCTTGGGGTTGATATTGCTCGTGCGAAGGAGGCTGGCTCAGTGAGGGTGTTCAGCCCCGTCCATTTGTACATGCATATGTGGCAACTCACAACCTGTGGTCTGAACGACAGTAGTGCCGCTACCGGCGCATACCGGCGCTGTTAAATGGTAGTGGAATCATCAGCTGTACCAGGATCCACGATCATGTTTATTACTATTATTTTCGTTCCGGCTTCTTTTCTCATGTGTAGTGTATCTGTACTGTCCATCACGGACAACGTCCCGAAACTGCACGTCGAACTGCAGAATGGAAATCCTTGCATCCCAGTTCGTACCCTCGTACTCCCGCCCTTTTACGCAGCATTCCGAAATGGAGCCTGCCACGCAGTGGCATGTTCAAGCCACAGCCTCAGTGTCCTTGCAGTGCGGCAACTTGTCTTCTGGTCTCCCCCGGTAGCCCCGGGCTGCACTGCGCCCAGGTTGCCTTCGACTTCCGAACGTGCAAGACACACTGGGCCTTCCCTTGCGTAGACCATGTGAGGCACAGCTCCCGTAGGCCAGTTCACACTTTATTTACGGGTTGCTATTTGCCCCTGTGCATTTGACCAGGCCAGGCTAGCGGCTAGCGCAGATGGTCGTGTAGCACATGTGTGGCCACCATGCAGAATGCCGAGCCAATGCGTCCTTGGCAAGCACAGGCCCAGCTTCAGGGAACACCAAGCCTTTGCAAGAGCAGTGAGACTGAAGCTTTCCAGTACTTCAACGCTCGTAGGTGTTTCATCTTCTCCCGGAGGCATCAGCTCCTGGAAACGCTGCGCCGTTGTCGAATTCCGAGATTTTGATGAGTCGCGGTCAAGTAGCATGCGTAAGTTGCGCTTCATCAGCTGTCCTGCAGTAGTTCCATGTAACAAAATAACCTCTTGCGAGCAGCGTGTAGGTATCGTGTCTTTGGGTTCGTCGGTCACAATGAACCTTTGAACGGGTATCGCTGCACACCTTGCCAGGCCTGTCCGAGTCAAAACAGTCCTTCGGCCCTCCCAGGCCCACGCCGCGCTTCGCCTTTGGGAGGCCGCGCTTCGTCGCCTCGGAGCTCGGAGCTTTGCTTTGGACCTCAGGTCTCTGTGTCTCCACCGTAGCTTCCCGGCGTTTGAGGTCGAATCACCCTAGGCCTGAACGTCAATAAACGTCCGGCGGATGCCCTCATCCGGATCAATGATATCCCATTTGGAGCGGGCATGCGGCCTTCTGGCAGTTCTTCGTGTCGCCGGTATCGTGGCATGGGGCTCAAGAGCCCTCGCTCCCACAAGTAGACACTTGTGTAGAGTGTAGAACTTATCGTGGCTGCTCACGTGGCTGTGCTGCAAGCATGACCAGCATGTGACAGCTTACGAGACTCTCACGTCACGATGCTGACTGCAATGTAGGCCCAACACGAGGCTTGAGAACCGATTCTCCATCTTAACTACTTTGCAAGCACCGGCCTGACTGCTGGCGACGAGCGATGCCTCCAGGTTCAGAGGACGGGGAACCTACGTCAAAGTCCTTAGGTCGCAATTTTGGAAGGTCTTGCACACAATGCGTTTTCCCAAGTTTGGGCGCGCACTGCCCGAAAACCCCGAAGGCCTGAAACCCCCCCAGTTTGGGGCCATGCGCATCACCAATGCACAGCACAGCGGATCCGAGTAGGCAAGTGCTTATATGGGACACGAGTGTTGCGGAGATCCTAGCTTTCTAAAGGTTGTTTCTGTGGTTTCTGAACGCCACCAGGACTTCCCCCCTCTGGGCGGCTTCCCACCGCTGGGACCCATCTCCAAGTCCAAAGCCAAAGGTGCAGGGAAAAGCAAGGCCTGGGTCGCATCTGAGGGTTGGAAGTTTAGGGGCTCAGACGAGAAGGCCCTGCTGTTGAGGACTGCTGCAAAAGGGCCTTGGGGGCCTTGGGGGCCTTGGGGTGCAATGAAGGGAGCTTTGGGGGTTGGGGTTTAGATGTTTATGGTTTGGCTTTAGAGCTTCATCGTCAAGCGATGCTGAAGATCTGACCCGAAGCAGGAACCCAACATGAATCAGAAGCCTCCAAAATTTGTGTGTCACTTTTTTGGAGCCCATTGAAGAATTTCGACAGTGTCTTCGAGATACACAGGGGAACTTCATTTTGCAAGAAGGGCATTGACTCTAGTCTAGACTCCCAACCCCAGGTGATAAACACCCTGAGCCGTAAACCCGAAAAGTTAAACCCTAGAGTTTGAAAAAGATAGGAAGCAACAAGCCCTGAAAGGCTAAACCCATGCTAGACGAACCTCGCAGGCGTCGTCGGAGCCCCCGCTTGGCGAGCTCTCACAGGCCCTTGGATGGACTCCTCCCGCAATGATGAAAACCTTTGCCCTACTGGGACTGCATTTTCCACATGTTACCGACGGTACTCTGGTGGAGAATTCATCCAGCGCTTTAAAGATCGAGGAGTGGGATTGGTCATATGCTCTTTTTTCTGCTACCGGGGCAGATCTGCATGGCGACGTGTAAGTGACCAAACAAGTAGAGCAAGGGCCGAAGCCTTAGCCGCTTCGTAGACAACTGTCTGATCTCTCTGAGCTGCGAGTTCGTACTTTGCTGTCCCTGCTTGCCAGAGTGCCAAAGAAGCCGCCTCACAGAATTGTTTTCATTGTTCTCATCCCAAGCCCCAAACATTCTGCACCGTTTCAAGATCGTCTGTGGCGCCAGGCCGCCCCACCCAAGAAAGCAGCAGCGCCGAAGGCACCACCCAAAGCTCCAGTTGAGGCCACCCGAAATACTCTCGAGACTACCACTTAGCTAGCCCTGAGGACGCTTCGGGTGGGTCCTGGGTCCTGAAATCAAGAGTGCATGGGTTGTTTTTGGGAAGGGTTCGGCACCAAAATTGAGTACGTTTACCCAGGTTTTGCGAGGTTTGTACTTCCTACAGAAGCATCGGCGAGTCTTTGGATAACCCTGCATTGTTCAACTCCTTGAGGCCAGGCCCTTCAGAAGGCTAAGTCAAGCACCCAATCACCGGATCTGGAGCACCAAAGCGGGGTTTGAATGCGGGAGGCTTACCAACAGAGAACACTCATAAGGAAATGGAAAGAAAGGATCACCAACGAAAGTTTTGCAATTCCAAACCCCTACCTTCACAACCCCAAAACCTAGACCCTGAGCAACACCAAGCTCTCAACAGCCCGAAACCCTGCACCTAAACAACAATGGTTTCACGAAAGCGGACCACGAACCATATGCCTGGCTCGGAGAGTCCGAGTGTGGTCGCCGAAACAGCAGCCCCAAACTCTAATCGCCAACGATCCCATAACCTTGCAACTCTGACAGACCCCTCAAGCAGGTGCTGCCGAAGGCGCCACCCAAAGCTCCAGTTGAGGCCACCCGAAATACTCTCGAGACTACCACTTAGCTAGCCCTGAGGACTTCGGGTGGGTCCTGGGTCCTGAAATCAAGAGTGCATGGGTTGTTTTTGGGAAGGGTTCGGCACCAAAATTGAGTACGTTTACCCAGGTTTTGCGAGGTTTGTACTTCCTACAGAAGCATCGGCGAGTCTTTGGATAACCCTGCATTGTTCAACTCCTTCAAGCCAGGCCCTTCAGAAGGCTAAGTCAAGCACCCAATCACCGGATCTGGAGCACCAAAGCGGGGTTTGAATGCGGGAGGCTTACCAACAGAGAACACTCATAAGGAAATGGAAAGAAAGGATCACCAACGAAAGTTTTGCAATTCCAAACCCTTACCTTCACAACCCCAAAACCTAGACCCTGAGCAACACCAAGCTCTCAACAGCCCGAAACCCTGCACCTAAACAACAATGGTTTCACGAAAGCGGACCACGAACCATATGCCTGGCTCGGAGAGTCCGAGTGTGGTCGCCGAAACAACAGCCCCAAACTCTAATCGCCAACGATCCCATAACCTTGCAACTCTGACAGACCCCTCAAGCAGGTGCTGCCGAAGGCGCCACCCAAAGCTCCAGTTGAGGCCACCCGAAATACTCTCGAGACTACCACTTGGCATGTTTCGACGGCATTCAGGATTTTGGATGAGTGGTTTAGGGCTTGGGTGCACCAGGGAGAGTGGGCTAAACTTGGGATTGCAGGGGTCGCATGGGTCATACCTGTCACGGGTGCATGGGACCCCCCTCGTGGTACTTGAACGTCGGAAAGAAGACCAAAGGCATGCTCCGTAGCCACGACAACTCGACTACCTTAACCGTAACCACCTGCTCAACAAACAACAAGCTCAACCGCGACAACAGCTGCAGCACGGCGGCGATAGAACAACCTTGGATGACAATGCACATACAGTGTCATACTTCTAGCAGTGGCAACAATACCAAACACAGATAAGCCATTGGGTGAGACTCTGCAGGCTGTGGCGGTGCAGCCTCTCTCAAAGAAGGCGGCGGCGCAGGCAAGGTTGCTGACTGATCCGGAGTAAACTCCAACACCCCATGTTGCACTGGGCGAGACCGGATGATATTGAGGATCGTTGTGGTTTTGTGGTGATAATCTAGCACAAACGTGGTTGCCGGGTTTTTGGCCCCCTCCTAACATCAGCTTGATGAGCCAGTCGCCAGTACATCCACATCGATAGCGCTGTTGGGGCCTTTCAGACTTACCTTGCGACTGTGATTTTGGCCAGTATCTTGTTTAGATAGAAAGACTCTAGCATGTCAGGACTTGAGTCAAGGAGACGCTTTGAGATTGAATGCTTGCTCCGCGCCGAGGCTCCGCCAAAGGCTCCAGCAGAAGCTGCGTCGGCGTCAGCCGAGGCCTTTGGCTCCCTTTTGCTGTGTCTACCTCAGGGGCCTCAAAATATTTATTTATTCTGTACTCATAAGGGACTCAGTATGCTAATCTCTGAATTCCCGTTTGAGAAACGCCTTGAGTATGCAGAAATGTCCCCAAGAGGGGGAGATGTTTGAGGTTCCTGAGGATGCAGAGACAAGATCAGAAAAGGACTGATCGGTCGGAGACAACTGTCTTGACAGCTTGTGCTTTTGCTTTATGGTTTACAGTCGACCACTCGATTTTCCATGGTCCCTGAACCTCTCTACCGTGGATACTAGAATGCTTATCGTAAACAAGGTATCCTGCAGCAGCCTCTTCTAGCAGGCTCCACAGAGATTCGGTGCAGATGACTACGAGCGCGCAGCAGAGGCTGATGCTGTCAGGGGCCGAGCATTGCAGTTCGCTTCCTGCGACCTCTGAGACCCCGCAGCGCCTCCAATCTACTCATATGTAGTGTATACTTGGCCCCAAAGTTACCTTGCTTTGAGCCCCCTGAAGCCCATCAAAGTAGTCTGGGGTGCACGACGGAAGCCCTGGAGTGCTTAGAATTGGTGAAGCAGAGTGAAGCTTGGGTTTCCTATGACAGACTATGATTTGAGGACATCCCAGGGTTTTCTTACTTGAAACAGTCTGTACTTCCGACACCTGTTTGCAGCCGTTTTGCGACAATTCCTTTCTATTGGGTCTTGACCTCCCATGTGGCTTCGAGTTCTAACAACTAGTGTTGCTCTTCTGAACAGATTGCCCCACAATACCTCGACGCATACACTAGCCTCGACCATCCGACCACCCCGCCAAAACGCATGACAATTGAAACATGTGGACACAGCTCTGTCCGCTCGTAGATGCCTTCTGCCGTCGCCAAGCTGGCCATTGCAAATCACACGAGTAGCTGGGGGAGGGGTACATTCCTAGTATATGCAGATGCCAGCACCTGCAGCGGTCGAGGGCCGTACGACTCTCCTGCCAAGGCAGCCAACGCTGGCATTATCGACGTAGCAGAAACGGACCGCTGGGCAATTGGAATTTGGAGCACTGAAGCCTTGTTCTCTCTATGCTAACATGTCTGAGCTACTTGGGTGCCGCCAAGACTATGCTTGGGTCTATTCACATCAGCTGGTGTGCTTAAGCTGCCTGCACAGTTTCGATTTTCAGGAGGATAGGCTGAACCTTAACATCCCGCCACTGGCCTTGGGAAAGTCGCCTCTCGGCTGCAAAGTCTCACAGTGAACGGTTTAGGATTTGGGAAACCATCCTTAGAGGTTCGACATGGCAGAGGTCTTGGAAATCGGCTGCAGGAGCGGTAGATGAAACGGAGCGTGTAGCTGTTTTGCGTCTCTCGAGCCTTAGATGTGGCTAAGCGGCTAATATAGCTGCATGGCGATGCAAGTGCCACATCTGCTAGTCTTGTCGCAACTCCCTTCGTCCTAAATTTCCTCCAAGCAAGTCGATTCCTGAAGCTGCCCCCAAGAAAGAAAGAAACACCCATGGAAACTGCCGCTCAGGAAGGGGGTGAAACAGCTCCGGCTCGTGTCCAACCACTTCTACCTGTCAGTGAGATCCAGCGGTAATGCAACCGTCGGGGTCCGAGGCATGGGTTTAGGGTTTCGGGGGTTATGATGGACATGGTTCCCCAAGGGGAGCAGCTGCCTGGTCTACAAGTCTCAGGTCTGGCGCTGCTGGCGAGTGGACTTTGTCAAGATGGACAAAGACAAGGACTGAAGCATTTTTTGTCGAGCCGGGCTCTCCTCCCGGAATTCTCAGGGCGAACTGGGCCTGGGGGGATGTATTTTTATGCAAGTGCTGTGGGCTGTGGGGGCAGGACCCCAACGCGAAGAAGATGCCAAAAAAGAAAGGCGAGGATGAAAGGGAAGTGCCAAAGGTAGGGGTCTTAGACACAGAGCATGCAGTATTTCCAGGATCACATCCTCTTCCTTTGGACATTACACTTCCAAAGCTCCAGCGGTGGGGGTGTTAGCTTCATGCCCCACCAAGGGGGTGCGGAAGCTGGCGGTGGAAGAGCTGCTGAAAGACATTCCGCATACTGATTGGCTACATGATGGTCTCTTGTCCTCATATGAACTTGTCAGATGTTGGAGTTGTCAAGGAAATCAGTCTTCTGTTTGGGCGGGTGCAGGGTCTCCATGGAGAATCTGCAAGTGTGAGCTCACTTCACTAGTCACTCAATCTTGGACAGCACCATGTTTACATTGGACTTGGCCGGCGATATTTGGTGTTGGACCCTGCCCGGCCATCTGGTGGACAGCTGGCCTCTCAAACCCCCAAGGCAACAATTTGCTCTACACGCGCAAGACCGTGACGGCACTTCAGGATGTGCGGAAGGAGGTTGAGGCGGGATCCAACCATTTTGGCCCCTGTAAGGCCTCAAGATTTGCTTTCTTATTTAGGATTCAGGGGCTTGGGGATGCTTGGGATTTTGTGCACAAACCAGCCTTCGAACATCTACCCATCTACTGACGACGACTGCTGCCGCATGCATGATATCTTTAAACCCGAAACCCTGAAGCCCGATCCCCCCATCCCCTCGAAAACAAGTCCAAAAACCTTAACCAGAAGCTCTGAACCCTAAAAAACCTAAACCCTGTGAGGTTCCTCCATCGAAACCTGGCGGAAGGCCTTTCCCGCTGACGTTGGAGGCTCCGGTGCAAAAGTTCGAAGGGTTTAGGGTTTAGGGGAGCCTGGGTTCAAACACGGGGCTTTAAGGTCGCACTGAGAGCTGAGGGTGTAGGGTAGTATAGGGAGGGTAATCGGGTTTAAGGTCGAGAGCTTTTGGGGGGTCCATGAAGAGATCTTGGACACCAGCACTACAGGCCAAGGCTCATAGCATCAATCCCAGCCTTCACAAGCTTACACTGCATACACTGCACTACAGGTCTTAAACGTCTGTTCTGCATCCTTCTCCCAGAAGCGAGGTGAAGTTCGAGGACCGTGAGATCGATCTTGGGTGGCTGCACCAGCCGCAGGTCTACCGGGGTTTTAGAGATTGGGGTTGCGAGATTCAGGTTTAGGCTTTACGACTTAAAGTTCAGAGTTTGTCTGTCCCGAGGTGAACAAGGATCCTGCAGAAGCTATGGCGTCAATGTCAGAGCACAGGCGGTTCGTGCAGGCAGGGGGCTGTCCAGCGTGTCCAGAGCGTGAGCCGGGCTCTCTTTACTCCGGTCACGGAGAGCCGAGAATGCCTAGAGCCTGGAGCCTTCTGTGACAGGTGGCCATCCGAACCCTCGCGCAAGAGAGGGAGGAACTTATTGCGCAAGGCCGCAAAGTCATCTGCGCCGACAGGCGGCTAATCTGTGATGCTGTGCCCTTGAAATACGGCCGCCACTCGCTACAATTTTGAGGCTTCGCTCAGATCACCAGCAATGCTGATAATGATGTTCGAAGCTCTAGTCTCTGAGGGAACCGTGATAACCAGTGGAGTCAGTCCAGCCAGTCCCGTGGCACTCTGACAGAGAGCCGGGTTAGCGAGCCTGCAGCAGCACCGAAGTGGCATAGCTACGGCAAGCGCAGCTCTCGTGCTAAGCATCTTCTTGGTTTTGCCACACGCCCTCACCTGTAAGAGTCCGAGGCGAGATGTGGTTCGGCTATATTGGCCAGGTCGAGATTGTGAATGGCGGGCCTGGGGTTGGTGGCCGACTCAACCCCGCACGCGCGACCTTGAGCAATCTGGCAGCATTTCAGCATCCTCCACATTTGGACTTGGCCCAACTCGGAGGATAGAGTAGTGATCGACAAGACCAGAAGTCCGAAGAGGAAGCATGGTCGTAGCCGATGAAACTTAGCGCTATGAGAGCTTGACAAGCTTTCATTGAGCTCTTGCCTCAGGCTTGAACCTCGTGGCATCTGTGGGTCTGCCCGACATGTGGGTCATTGACCTGCTTGGGAAGCTGGGCGCGCCTCGCCTGAGTACATGTATCCTTGACGCGAAGAGTAAGTCTTCGAAGCAGGTACAGTCGGGACTGCTTGAATCAAAGCTTTCTTCCTTGCCATTTGCCACTCAAAGCCGAGAGCTTTCAGCGGCTGAGGCCAAAAAGCCTGGAGAGTGGTGGAGCGAGGAGGAATGCAAAAAGCAGGAGCCTGAGCAAAGGGTCGACGCAGGCCAAGTTATGTTCGTTCTCTGCTAACTCACTGGTATGTGCGTACTTTATTATTCTTCATCTTGCAGGATAAGGCTGTAGGGGCTGGTGGCAGCCGCGGCGTTGGCGGGCGGTGGTACTGCCGCTCTTGCGATTGTAGTTCTGGGCGTCGGCGGTGGTGGTGATGCTGTTGCTGGTGCTAGCGATGATATTATGACTGTGATGGTGGTAACGATCCTAATCATCATGATGATGACTTCGATGACGATGAAGCAGCCTGTCACGATGTTCGGCCTCATCTGCAGCAGCATCAGCCCCCAATCGAACCCGTTTGTGCTCGCTGGCAGGGATGTCGTCTGGAATTATTGGGACAGGCGCGAGATGTGAGAGGAGAGCTAGACTGGAGCTTTAAGTAAAACGCTTACTGCGGGAATGTGCCATGCGCAGGCGATACCAAACCTTGCGCGACTCACTTCGAGGAGAGCTTGGCCTGCGAAAGCTGTCGCTGGCTTAATTTTATGCGCCTACTGCCCGTGGCTGTCTCGAGAGACATACTACGTCATGCTGCTAACCTCCCCACTATCACAGCAGATCGCTTGCGGTTAGGGCAATTGAAAGCAAGTCGCTGTCTTTCGGTGATGTTTTCACATCTACTGGTAAGATCTAAGGAGAGTCAGAGCGGAATACGGCCAGGCACGACCTAGTTTGGAAAGCTGCGACACGTCTGTCGCTCCTCCAATCTCCTCTAGTTCTGTGATGTTCTGTGGAATGCAGGTGAAGGTCAAGGGCAAGCTGGTGTACGGGCTGACCGACAAGCCCGCGAACAGATATCAGTTCGATTGCGAAGAGATGGGTGGCAAGGTGGACGTCGCCGCCTATTTCAAGCATAAGCACGGCCTGACCCTGCAACATCCTGAGCTTCCGTGTGTCCAGCTGGGAAACGCGCGAAACTGCATTCCCATGGAGTACATCTACGTCATGGGTGGCACCTCGGCTGCAAGACTATGTCCAAGAGATCTGGGAGTTTTGGGCGGTCTGGGCTCTGAGGTGAGCACAATCTGGCGGTGGGAAAGCTACGGCCGGAATTCCAGCAGGAGGCTCATGGCCAGTGCTGGGTTCAAACTTTCACCTTGGTGCAATCTTGCCGCAATGGCCACAGTGTCAGAAGCGCAAGACCTTGCAGCATAGAGGTACATTTGTTGCCAATTGCCAGGTGACAAGGAGGACTGCCATGCCACCCTCCACTCGGCGAGACCAGATCATGCAAGCCCTCAACAACAAACAGCTAGGCCGGGATCACCCCAAGAGCATGCGAAACATCCGCAGTGAATCAGCTTTTTCTTGATGTTCAAACGGTACTCCGCATATGCTGTGTTTGAAGTCATCTTGGGATGCTCGTCGTCCATCCTTGCGAGGCCCTTCTGCCGCCCTGAATCCAAAAGGAGTCGCTTGGAGATGGTAAGTTGGGGCTGTCTGTCCTTCCTGGTTTTCGGTACTCCTAGCAGCATGGTAGGATGATGTTTCCTGTTGCTTTCGACATCATCCCCACTGGCTCCATCATGTTTCCCTGAGATCGACGTGGCCTTCGAGATGCTTGCCGTTACCGGCCGAGTGCCCAGAGGGTATGCGATCAGGGGTACCAAAGAGTTCTATAAAGGATATTAGAGGGCCAACTGATACTTAGGCCGACAGTTGGAGACACCAAAGCTGCGAGATGGTCGCCGTGCTTGCAAGTTTGGGGTGCTTGAAGTTGATGCTCGGGGGAAGGTTTTGAGACTCTTGAGAGAAGAACGCCTCTTTTACGGGGGCGGGAGCTCCTGCTGCGGCACTGTGGCACGACGGTCTACTTGTGATTTTGCTCTACTTTGGAACCCTTGAAACCTTTTTTTGATTGAACTTCCGCCAACTGAAAGAAACTCACCCGAACCGCCTGCAGCTGATGCGCTGCCCTTCGAACCGAACCAACCTCGCCTGCGCAGTCCGAGTCGCGAGAGTTAAATTCCTGTCGTACATGTCATAGTATCTGGTATCATTTATGGAATTTTTCCTCGTGAAACAGACGAGTTCCTCTTGGGCTCTCTGCGTAGTTCCTTCGTTTTTATTTCAGGTCGGCGATTGGCATCGACATTTCAACTTCTGAACCCGAGACCTCTCTGTCCTGCCAGTAAGTGGACCGAGCCGTAGCAATCAGCCTGCAGCATAGTACAGTACATCAGTGTATATCTTGGCATATGTCGGGATCTTACAGCATGTTACCCCTGAGTCCTACAGTCATATCCGAGGCAACAGCGCCGTCATGAGAGACTCCACGAACTACTCCAACAACTTCAAGAGCGTGGCGCCCCCGAGGTTCAACGACGCTCGGGCTTTGTAAGCTTTGCAGGCCGATGCCTCCTCATTCAAGCCTTAACTGCCTTAACCTGTAGAATATGTTTGATTGAAAACTTTTCAACCCCCAGATTTACAGGAAATTGGAATGGAATGGAACTGTCATCATCGTGTGCTTGCCAATGGCACGACTGTCGCCGCATGTTGTAACAAGAGACAGGCATGCCACAAGACTGCCGGGGCCAACAGGTTGGATGCTAGGCGAGCTACATTTCTAGATGCCCTGAACTTTACGCCCATATACCCTATACCCTGAACAGGCTTGTCCCAGTTGTGAGTGCTGAAACAGTGATATTCAGTCTTAAGACGTCAAGAGAAGCTCAGGTTTCCTGGGGTCTTTGGACGTTCACGACACAGAGCAGTCCCAGTGAGCGACGCGGCGGCATTCTGACCACGCATCTGTGTCGCGGCACGGCTGTTGTTGAGAGCATGGCAGCTGTGATACTGTACTGATGTAGGGCGTCTGGTCAGGTCAGGTCAGGAACAACGAGAACAGCAGTAACAAGAGTGAAGACATTTGCTAAATGAGCATAATACTTTCAACTTGAAAACGCGTCTCGCGAGTTGTTCCAAGCATGCAGGACTTGGAATGTCAAGTTCTGTGCGCCCATGTCACCCTTGCCAGTATTGGTAATCCACCCCGGACATAACTCTACAGGGATTAATCGCACAGAGATTAGAGCACCGCCAAAGGGCTTTGCAATGCATTGCTGAAGGGCTTCGTGACTCGAAGGACGGTGTCCGTTTCTGGTATGAGTTCGCTTGTTTCGAGAGTGGCAGGTGAATAACGCCACCTACATGCTGCACGAAGTGCCAAGTCAATCTATACCAAGAACAGCAGCTGCTCCTGCAGGAGAGACATCAAATGGTTCGCCGATCAGTTGACGAAGCGGTGCTACAGCAAGGGCATGAACTTTTCAGATGCGAAGTTTGTGGAGTGGCCGGAGGAGGTTGGGTCGGTCGGGCTGGGTTCTTGCCGGCCTTCGATTGGTTTTGCTGCACTGAACCGTTGTTCTGATGCTGAGGCCTTCAACTCCTACTTCAGTTGCTCTTCGTCTTGCAGTCATCGAACTAGTGCCGAGGTTTCTGTTCATCTGATATTCAGCCTGGTTCAAGCAGACTGCAAGGCCACAAGAACAGGGAGGCCTTCTCTCCGAAGATGGGCGATGCGATCCGAAATGATCTCAACAGAGTGGCAGCGGCGCACAAGGCGGGCAAGCAGAGAAGAGTGGGAGTAGTCGTAGGACACGGCAAGGTGATACGTAAGCGGCGATGTGAAATTGAAAGGACCTCAAGCTGTTGGTCATCCTGCTGGACAACAGTGAGGCCTGCTTTGGCTTGTCTTGAGCGACTCTGAGAACGGCGCCCGAAATACCACGACTTGCACCACTGGAGTCCACTGCTCGGTAGGGCTCGGGTAACTGCTGGAACTTGTGCCAGCGCAAGGAATTCTGATAGTCATGATGGTACCATGGTACTCTTCGTGTGGGAGTGGTGTTGGCAACGACAAAGCCTCCGCTGTGAGGCCATTACAGACCACCTCTACAAGCTCGTCAAGCTCATCACAGAGACCGAGATGGGCACGTTTACCACGCAATTCGTCAACTGCAAGAAGGGCATTGAGGCCAGGAGTCAGCTTCACAATGCAACTGATGCTTTTTGAATTTTTGCTTGGGAGGACGCAGAGAAGAAGCTCAACAACCTCATGCTGAAGATCACCCCAAAACTCCCGGAACAGCCGAATGGCTCTCGAGCGGCTCACAACGTGGCACTCTCGGAGCCGCACCCACTTCTCAGGAAGGATGAGGCCTGCGGAAACATACTCGGCAGCCTATTCCGAGGTTGTCGTTCCTGTGCCATGCACTCACTGTCGGTGTGGCTGCCAGGCCACCATGATCATGGGTGCTGATGTGACCCACAAGGTTGCCGGTATCAGTGTGGCCGGAGTTGTGGGTTCTGTGGACTCAAGCTACGCACCTTGACGCTTAGATTTCAACGTGACGCAATCCATTCTGAGCAGATGCCGATTCTGTCAAACTGTGAAGCTCGAGGCATCCTACTTCCACCAGATCCGCGGGCAATCGCCATACACGCTGAATACGCTCAAGCAAAGAAATCGCCAAAGCGAAGAGCGCATCATTGACTTGACCAGAAGCTTGGCGGCGTTAGGGATGGATTGCTGTCTCTGCTCCGGACAGCTGAGGACGCGTGTCTGAGTGTGTCCGTGCGGCAAGGTATGACCTACAACATTCTGGAGAAGTGGAAAAACATGAACAACAAGCTCCCAGACACGATCATCTACTACCGCCAGAGCCCCACATTCCGAATTTTCTCGTGTATGCAGAAAGCAGTTAAGGGGGCCTTCGGGTTTGTAGGTTTGTGATGTTCGCACGATAACCCAGGTTCTCCCGATCCAGGTATGTGGTGGTTCTCGATATGTTGCGAGCGGAGCTTTTTGTCTAGGAGTCCCCAACTCTGTTGAAACCCTATGCCCCAAGTTGCGTTCCCCATATTTCAAGTTCAGTATACCCCACGTTCCGATAGTTGCCGAAAATGAGAATCACAGCAGCCCGGCGAGGCGACGGCGTCTCTGATGGACAGTTCATTAACGTGCTGAAGCGGGAGCTCAACTTGCCACTGGGTTTTGTGGATTGTATTCCCTCCAGTCCTAAACCCGAAACCATTACGTTTGGGGTTTTAGAGCCTCTGCACAAGTCCTGATGCACTCTCAGTGTTGATGAGCTAGACGGACGCAGACTCTATCGGGAGCCGAGGCTGGATGATGCCTTCAAGAAGATCAGCACCACGTACGACCCGAAGTTGGTGATCATTGTGGGCCAGAAACCCTGGTTTGCTTAGTCAGAGCGCGCTTTATGTTAGTGTGTGTGTGTGTGTGTGTGTGCGCGTGCGTGCTCTGATCGTCACAATTTTGTTTTTTAGTTTCGGGGGTCATCATCATTGCAAGTTACTCTGCACGCTGACAGTTCTCAGGAGTATTAGGGGCGCTTCCGACAGAGCTCACCACGGTCCCCACTCACCGCTAGAGCCATCTTTCGTCAGGTATGCTCTGAATCTTCGGAGGGGATGCCCGGAGCGAGATTGTCTAAGGAAGCGCCACCAGACGCGCCTCTGGATGCAGGATGGCGCCCTTCAAGATGACAAGGGCAAGGGAAAAGGAAAGGACAAGGTCTGCGCTTTTCTGCTCTTGTCCACGAGATTAGCACCACTCTGGACTTTTGCACAAATCTTTTCGTTGATGTTGTGTACATTTGCTAGTTGTGAGTTATCACGAAGTTTTCAATCAACAGTCAAAGGCCCGCCCTCGGCCTCATGTGTATAAGGTCTGGACTGATAGGTTCTGGGCGTTCTGGTGAGTCGCAGGCGGTGAAGAAATCATTGACGAACCGGCCTTTAATTCAATCCACATCCTAAACCGCTGGGATCCGGAAAAGAGTATGGGCATGGCAGCGAATTTTTATCCGTCCCGGTTGCGATCCTTTAAGTGCAATGACGGGTCTTCGCCATGCAGTTTCTCATGTGCTTTCGATGCGAGCAATGCTGCAGGGGAAGGACGACAAAGGCAAAGGCAAGGGCAAAGGAAAGGACCCTGCGCAGGCACGTTGGGAGACTCAGAAAGCTAGGGCCCCTTTCATAAGAATCCTGAAGTTCAAGTTCTATCTTTTTGGGTTCTGGATGATGTTTGCGCAGGCTATCTTAACGCCCAGAAACGGGATTTGTTTGCCGAATGGTGCACAAACTTCTGCGTGTCCAGGTTCCTCCTGGTACAGTGGCCAGCGAGGGCATAGCCCAGCCATCGCATTTGAACTTCTTCCTGGTCTCACAACTAGGCCGGGCCCTTCAACTGGGGGCAAGGTTGCCCAGAGGTTATGTTTACATCCCCGAGGTGGCGTAAGCAAGTTTATGTCATGCCGAGCGTTCCGACTATATCAAACAGCAAGAGCACATGCAGCTGAGGTATTCAAGGCACGTCAGTGCCTTGTCACTACCACATATTGCACCTAGACAAGAGGCTCGTGCAAAAAGGAATCACCGTGGATGACTTTGCAGCTTGGGTCCATTTACATCTCGAAACTTCTTCTCCTTCTGGCTAAAGATACGTTTGTCTTGAGGGTTCCACTGTACTCAGGAAACCATTACATTCCAGCTGTGCCACATGTACTCGCGGGCCGACAAATCCGTGGGCTATGCGACGCCGGCTTACATGGCCGACCATGTTTGCCACTGGGACTTCACAGGCTTCCGAGCGAATTCACCAGTGCCAGTTTGAGCTGTCAGCTTCAAGCGTTGCAGCCCAGGTGAGCGCGGCAAGCACTACCTTGAGGCCTGATGGCCACTGTCAAGCTTCGCAACTACACTGCAGCTGCACGTCCGTAGTTCCCGGAATGGGATTCAACGGGGATCCCGTAATGACAGAAAGCAAGACAAAGCATTTCACGGAGGCGCCTAGGCTTTTTTGTGCAGCAAACGGTATGAACTTCCAGACATTCTCCACAGGCGAACTTCGGGTCCTCGGACGTGATGAGCACTCACGGTTCTTCCATGAGCGAGGCTCTGCACATGCCACAGTCTTAAGCATGTCTAGGAATGATGAGAATCATGAAGGTGATATGCTACTAGCGACAGGTGGTACTTGAAGTAAATGCGCAAGAATCAGGTAAATCAAGACGGATCGGTGTGCGACGTAGTGAAGAACGCCTAACAGTGCCGTGGCAGGAGAAGCAGGACGAGAACCTGCGAAAGCAGATTGACGAAAGAACTAGATGGCTGAACGATCGCGCAGCGCAGAGTGTGATGCTCAGTGTCAGGGCACAGAAAACAGGAAGATGCTGTTGTTGCATGCTCTTGCTTCATTAGTGACCTTTACCTCTGTAGGTGTTGTTCAAGTCTCCGCACCTGTTACCCAACACCACCTCTTCCACTCCCGCAAGTGCTACCTCCACCATGGCAGCCGCCGCCCCGCCGACCATCTTGCAGGCTCCCGCCTGAAGCTCAATGGGCTTCAGCTGTACTGCTGAGAAGAGGACTCGGACTGGAAAGTTGAAGGATGTCAAGGCAATGCAAAGTCACATGTGCTGGTCGTGTAGGGCTCAGAAGGCGCTGTGTGGAAGCAAACCTTGGGGAAAAGTTTTTGCATAACAGGGCTTCCTGGAGCGCGATGCAGGCTGAGGATTCTTTAGTGAGTCTCGCCTGTGAACCCTATGGGCTGAAAGGAGATGCGGATCGGGAAGCACAGGAAAACAAAGCCTTCTGAGCAGGGGCGTGGCTTCGTGCTCTTTTCGTGCCATCTTTCCTACGCCAAGCGTGTGAACTTTGCCTGTGGGGCATCACTTCAGGACCTACTTTAGGATTGATCTGATAGCACAATAGTCTCGAGGATATTGACAAACATGCAAACGGAATAGGAATGGATTTTCCCTTTGACGCCGAGCAAGGCAGCACGTTTTTTGTGTGTCGGAAAGCGTGCTGGAGCTGGGCAGGACAAAGGGGCGAAGTTGTACAGCCCGAAGTTGTACAGAGTTTAGCCCCATGCTGTGGAAAAGGCTTGGTCCTGTGGGGCTCCTTTCCGTTATTCTGGTTTCCATCCTGCAGCGGGGTGTTGCGGGAGCTGGGCTTCAAAGCTTCAGGCTGCAGAGGTTCGCCAGGTCTTCTCATAAAGACTTGATTGTTGCTAGTTACTCTGACTGCCACCGCGTGGACATCAGGCAAAGGCAACATCCAGTCCAAAGGATACCAAGGCCGTCAGGGATGCTTTCGATGATTCTTCTGCGAAGTTTTCCTTTGGATGTCCCTGCGAAGGCCAAAAGGCCAAGGCTCTGAAGGATGGCCAGCGGCCAGCAGCTCTGAAGCAAGGCAGGTAGCATGCAGTCAGAGTTTTCAGAGCTCATGCCGGTTGAAATCATAGAGGGCCGTGGGACTCGCCCGCCTGTCATGTTCCGCGGCGCCGATGCCATGCTGGAGCCTTGCTCGCCCTTCAACCTGAAACCTGTCAGGGAATTTCTTGAAGAGCTGCAGAAGACCAGAGAAGAGAGCCATCCGGGCTCCAGCGGGATCAAGGCCGATTGCATCACAAGTTTGGAATTCCGCTATCATTGAGCTCCGGTGCCTCTGCGAATCGCCTGCTTTCTTCATCAAACGCCTCGCGCAGGTCATCACTCCACAAGGATATGGCAACCATCTCTCGCCTCCAAGCTGCACGACCCTGTTCCAGTCGGTTCCAAAAAATGAAAATTCAAACAGCGCTGGCTGCGGTCAGGACAGCTGTGCCAAGTTGGACAAGTTCAGAGCTGTCCCGCTTGCAGAGTGTCGCTTAAGCACTTTTGCCAAAAACTGGTCTCTTGGCCTTGCAGGAAATGAGTTGCAGGTGGAATCCAGTTCATCCGAAGCCGTTCCTCATGTTGGCACTCAGGTTCATTGTGGAACTGTCGCAATGCCTTCCAGCACCCCGGCTGGAAACTGTGCCAGGACTTTATGGTAACATTGTCGTGAACGCGAAAGACGAGAAACATGTTGTGCTCAGCCACGAGCCTGTCCAATACTGTAGCCTTTGGGCATGCCGGGATGGACACAGGGTGGAGTCTTAGATTTGTAAATGATTTGTAGCGTTCCTGATTTTGAAGAGTTCAACAGACGTGCAGCGATTTTCAGGTCTTGGATTTCCTGCCATTGCGAGCGTGTGGCCGACAGATGTCTTGCACGAAGGCATTCAAGGACGCTTGGTCTCTGGACCAGGGTATGCAGTCCTTGTTTGTGCTGAAGAGTTCCTCCACTTTCTTGAATGTCGATGGACGCAGCATGAAGAAGCGTGAGTGCCACTCAGCGTGTGCAGGAGCTTCTCAAGGTGCCACGGGCTGATTTCATGATGGCAGCAGCGCGGCAAATGGGCTATTCTGCAGAAGACCTGAGGATCCTTTACGGCACGACACGCCACAGATATACCAAGTGCAAGGATGGAAGATGGTATCATTTGAGGTGGTTGGGCCTCGGAGTGCCCAAGAAGGACTGGCCAAATACAACAGATTTCTCATTCGCTGGCATGCAGGCTGGTGAATCGTGGCGGGAATTGATGGTACGAAGCCTCTTTTCTGGCAGCGTCGAATCGGTGGAGGTGTACCGACGCCAACAGTTCCTAAGGCGGAGAGAGCAGGATCGAGGCCACGAGTCGATGTACATAGATTGGGTCTTGAAGCGAGCCAGTGACTCCGACCCTCGCTGAAAATTCCGGCGGGCAGGATGAGCAAGCAGGTAGCCCAACAGAGTAGGAAAACATGCTGCAATGAGGACCAGTGCAAATGACATGCTGCAGGGCCCAGGCGAGGATGGAACACAGACGTACGTGAAGCAATGGGAAGCAACACTATTGACAGATCCAAGATGTCCACACTCAATTCAGATCTGTTGTAAGCTGATCGTAGTGAGATCCAAGCTTTCGAGCCTTTCGAACTGCCCGCTCCATACCTGTGCGTCTGTCGTCGGACACCAAGCTGCTGTTGGGGGTTGCCGACTTCTTGTCTTTGTCCTGGAGTTTAGACCGTCGGGATTTGATGATTTGAAGCTTTCCGAGGTTGGCTTTGCTGTGAAGATTATGCTTCTGCAAAGGCTCAACCGCATTTTGAGAAGGATTCATGGTCATTCAGCACATATTTACATGCATTCTCATCTTTTTCGTGGTTGGTTTCTTGCACATATTCCAGGACACGCGTGGAAACGATGCCAGACGCGATTCCGATTGTGGTTCGCAGCCCAGTTTGCGTTTCAATAGCGCCGCATCGTGCCAAGTCCCACTTGCAAGAATGGCTGCTCGTGAATAATGTGCGCGAGATTCGCTAGGCTGGATGTTATTCTTTGGTGAGCGGCTCGCAAGCGTCCCTGATCGCAACATACCCCTTAACGACCGCATTTCCCAAAGCACGACCACCGCAGCCCCATGGCACATGCAGGCGCAAGGACTGTCCTTTATGGCCACACCGGCAACATGAGGCCGTGCAACCAGGGACGCAACGAAGACAGACACAGCAAACATGTAAATTACAACGCCTGACGATGCCTGTTTTTGTTTTGGTAGCTCTTGCACATTGGCCTTGGCCGTCATCATCGTCGCAGTATGACCATATTACCGTGAGGCGAGATATCATTGTTGAGCACGCATGTCTCCATGTCAACTTGCAGCAGTTACCCCAAAGTGCGTCACCTAATTGACCCAACTGAGAATGAACTGATTGACCTGCATGTCATGCAATCCCCGTTGACGTTGAGGACAGCGCTGCAGCACGGTTTAAAAAATGAAAGTGTGGCCAGCGCATACCGTGGCTTGTTCGAAGCTGCGTTTTATCCAGCATATGTTTTTGAGGTGAGGAGTGGAGCTGCAGAATTCCATGATGTGAATGAGGCCAGTGTTGTGCTTTGCCGGAGTGGTGCTGTCATTGGTTTGAAGATCCCAACGTGTCCACACCTTTTCGGCCCCTGCCTCATGGGTTCAAGTTCCCATAGCAGACAGTGCTTTCACTTGAATGAGCGAAACAGTCCATCATGTGTGCTACTTTCTGGTTGTACGGGCGCATGTGTGTATGTATGTAGTGCAATGTCTCGTCATGTCTCGTCATATCACGTTGTGTCATGTCATGTTAGGTCCTTTCATGATGTGGTATGTTAGGTTTTGCCGTGTTATGTTTTGTTGTGTTGTGCCCTGCCATCTAATGTTACATGTTATGTTATGCTATGTTATGGTAAGTTATGCTTCTCATGTCATGAATACCGTACTGTACGGTGATTATTGTACTAGAATCATCTTTTGTGCTATGTTGTGTTATGCTGCGCTACACTACGCGATGTCACATTATCTCACGTTATGTTGGCACGTGTATGTGTATCTATCAGGAATACGGAAGGTAAAAGGAGGGAGAGCTCCCAAAATTACAATGGTCTATGAGCTTTTGTTTTCGGGGATGACCTGCTGGATCTTCTGCAAGCCTCGAGACCTCAGGTCGTTTCTTCTGGAAGTTGCCAGCCCCGCGAGAGCGAGATGGTGAGAAAACATGGACGAAACTATCAGTCGTGATGGTGCTACTGTATACACGTCTAAGAGGTATTGCCGGGACTGTCAAAATTTAGGCAGGAGGGAACCGTATTGCATGATGCATCGCTCCTTCCGATGTCACCAACCAGAAGTGAATGGAATTGTGGCGTACGGAAATCATGGAATCGTTCGGGAGGTAAGTGGCAGCTCTACAGCAACATCCTGAGGATTAAGTAGAGCAAGGTCCTTTTTGTGTTTGCCCATGAAGAATTCTACTTGACGTGTTGTGCCGAGGGCCTTCTCAGGACAGAAACCGTTTGTCAAGTTGCATGTTCCCACGTATTGTAAATTGTAAACACCTCGGAGGTGTTTAGAGGTAGATCACCTGTCAGAAAAGCGCCTTGCCGCCACATCGCTCAAGGCAAGACGTCCTGATTAAAGCTTTCGAGATCTTTTCATCAGGTCATACTTATCAGGCAGCTCATCGTCATTGCCACAAGCAGCTACGTACGATTAGAGGAGTCGGAGGGATCCTGATGAACTGAAGCAAACTTTGAGTGCTCCCCTAGCAATGTGAATTCGCATGATGTCAAGATCCACATTTTTTTGGGGAGTGAGCCCAGCTTGCAGCACAGCCGCAGCTGATCGCGTCTGCCATGCTGGGACACAGCGACATTATCCACCACCGGGTCTGGCACTCAGATTCGAAGTTCTCCTGTTCCAAGGCTTTTGTCGCCATCTTGCAAGTGGCCGCGGCTAAGGTTTGGCAAAAAGCGGCGATGTCATGCACGCCACAGGAGGTTCGTGAGGAGGCTGGGGGTTCTTTGACTGCTGCTCGCGCAGCATCGTTTCTTTCAGTGCTTGCTCCAGGACGTGTGAAATTTCGACAGGTGTTTTTCTGACAGTTTCCACATTGGGCTGCATCGAAGTTTCCTGTGCTTTGGAGAATCGGATTCGATCGCCTAAGCAACTGCAGGGCCTCGCGAGATCTCGCGAGTCCTTTTGCCCTTTTCGAGGCCAAGGAGGTGGCCTCCTGTTCTGCAGCCCTGCCTGTGGCCGTTCGGAGCGCGCTCGACAAGATCACCTTTTGCACTTCAACAGTGTCATTGCTGTGTGGAAATTTGAACAGGCGAGAGTCAACAGAACACGCGCGTATGTTCATTTTTCCGATCTGGTATACATCAACCGAAGCTCGCGCATACAACAGACGGACACCGAAGAGATACGATGTGCGTGCCAGGAAAGAGCGAAATCTACAGAAACAGACGATCGTCATAACTCACGGGTGGGGAGACAAGATACATGAGGGCAACGCACGCTCTCTTTCTCTTTCTCTCGCTCACTCCCTCTCTTTTCTCTCTCTCTTGTCTTTATCTTTAGCTCCCCCCCTCTCTCTCTCTCTCCCCTCTCTCGCCTTCTTCTCTCGCTGCTTCCTTGTTTTTTCTGGAATTGGCGTCCTTCCTCTTTAGAATGTTTGTGCGCTCTTTCGGAGAGCAAGTTCAACAAAGATCAGTTCGGGCAAACGCGTTAACATGAATTCTTTCCAACGTTTTCAGCGGGGCTTCCCCAAGCTCATCGACCTCTTACCCAAATTCAGGGCTACTCCTGAAGACACGCCCTACAATCCTAAACCCTGGCTCGACAGCAGGTGAAGCCATGGCAGTCGGGTACTCGGAGGAGTCTCGGAAGGTCTGCAGAGTTCTCGAAATTGTTGCCCCTCGCTTCGTACTTCTGGCAAACAAGGTGAAAGGGGAAGGACCTTCAAGTTTAGTTTAGTCCTGAGGGATGGAGTCTCACGTAACAGAACTTACCACACAGCCCTTCCCTGAGCTCTCACCCGTAAATCGTTTAGCTGCAACAGCTGCGTGTAATTTCACGCAACGAGAGCCTCAAAGTCGCGGCGTGGACCTTGGATCCTGGATGGCATCGTGGGTCACTGGAGTCTTTGTGGTGCAGCCCTGGATCTGACTGGGATGGGGAGCTTGTTTCGGACTGAGGTGCAAACAATCTTCGCTTCCATGCCCAGCGCTTTGAGATCCTACCCTGAACTATCTTGAACCGCTGCATACTGCTGCCTCATGCACCTCAGTCAGGAAGTAATCTGGCATGCAATCCGCACGTGGCAGAGTTCTTCCCCAGGCCTCACCTGTTGACGTTGGTGACTGTGGCAATGTCGGATACTGAGCATGAAATCTGCCGTGGCAGCATGCTCTCGGATATGCTCGGCTGTTTAGGGTTTATCTGACGACGGGGCCTTGCCAGGGAACTCCTGGCCAGGCGGAACGTCTCATCTCGTGGCACCGGAATTTGAGCTTCGTACTTTGAACTAGCTGCTCTACTAGCTCGTCAAGATGTGAAATTCGCAGCTGGTGAAATAAGACTGTTGAAGGCGCATGCTGTTAGCAATGTATTTTGTGGTCATAAAAGGCCTGAGTACACGTTCTTCGGGCGCACCATTTGCACACCACTCTGGTCGACGTTAGACTCGTTAGACAGGTGCCAGAGAAGCTCAAAGATTTTGGCGGCACCTTGGAACTGTTGGCCGACACAGTGAGGCACGGCACGGCCCCGGTTCATGGCGTCCAAGCTCTAGTTGTGTTATTTGCAATCAGATACCGGTCTGTTCCCCGGGCTTCTACGACCGGGTCTTCGTTGGAACACCTCAGCGCACCGAGGAACGGGCAGTCATTTCCGCAGCTGAGACCTTCACAAAGGATTGCAAAGTCGGGCAGCGGCAAACCACCTGCCACCTGCGATGAGAAAGATCAAACTGCGCGTGAATTTCAGCAGCCAGCAGAAGAAAGATATACGCCATGCTGGCAAGGAGTCGTCTGATCTCTTGAATCGAATGAAAAATCAGGTGTGCATGGGCTTCGAAGTGCTGGGCTGCAGAACGGCACTGTGGGATCGTAACATGTGAGTTTCACTTGTGGACAGGTCTTTTTAAGGAGAGAAGCGTGACATTGCATGATGGAGTGCGGCCTTGAGTAACATGTGAGTAACGTTGGGGCCCTGGAGCAGATAACTGAGTTCACGCTATCAAGCCTATTCACCGGGGAGCACACCGTGCCTGTCAGTCATTCACTTCGCCAGGCGCGGGCTTTGCAACGCGATGAGCCGGAGTCTTTTAGCCCGAGCCTTTGAAGCTTCTGCTCTCACAAGGTTTCGAATCATCGGAAACACTTCTCTTTGACGTCATTACCCAGGGGTTCCTAAGACCCCATCACAGCAGGAACCAACCCCCACCGCCCAAAAACTTGAGTCCATGACCCTATGGCCCGGATTTTCTGGGAACCAGTAACAACTAGGAATCAGGGGTAGTCAAGCCTGATTGCAGGCACCATGCCCCAACGTATAGCACGTTGCATTTCAGTGTTTCAGGTCTTTTAGGTGGCCTGTGAAACTGGGTGAAACTGGACTTGGGGTCAAGGTCACTAGGGTCACTAGGGATTAACGATTCTTGTCGTTTCTTGGTATTCGAAGCAAGTATAACAAGGTGAATCCAGCTCTTGAGACCCACACCTGGCCCTCAATCCATAATGCCATGCAAATGAAATCGCCCGAGGTGCCCAATTCAATCCCGGGTTTAGGGGTTTAGGGTTTAGGGCTTTAGAGTTTGGGGTTCAGGCTTAGGGTTTATAAGGGTGTCTTTGAAATTGGATGGGGGCCGCTTCCTGCCTCCAATGTGCAGGCAAGGTGATGAACCTGCAACCTTGAAACCTACAAGGCTAGCCCCCTAGAACCCCCCCCCCCCCCATCAGATTCGACTTTCGATGCAGCGGGCTTGAATCCGTATACTGTAAGCAGCATAAGAAATCGAGAAGTGTACCAAACAAACAGCATGAGGGCCCAGGCCTTTGGGAATATTAGCGGGTATAGTATGTATGTGTATATATATATATATATATATATATCATTATTATTATTATATTCTGGGGATACATAGAGCGGCCAACTCGAGGCGAATTCCAAGTACAAAGCACCAAAATAATTGTGAATTACCTTCTCAAACGCACGTGCCGGGCAAGGTCCAAGGGCCTCTCAACCAGCAGCCTGAGGGACATACTCTACAACTATCTAGATCTAGACCCTATGGCTCAAACTGGCTCTACTGAACAGTAACGCGGGCCATACATTCGGGGTGCAGTCGAAAGTGTGGAGGACCATGTGTGAGGGCATGCAAATGTACGCGGCCCTTAATGTGTATTTCTGATTGCGCCAAGCTTCCAGTCGTTTCAAACAATTATTAATTACGGCGCACATACAACAGGTGTGTGCATTCACACCTGGCAGGTGCGCAGCTTCAAAGGCATGCTGCACTGAGCTGGCCTACGCAGTGTCGGGTCGGGGTTTCGTTGTTTAGGGGTTTAGGAGCCGATCTGATCATGAGGCTTGGGGTCTCTAGGATTACTACCACGGGGTGAAGGGGTGCCAGTGTATAAGGGGGTTTGGGGATTTGGCGAAGACTGTGGTTCAGGGTTTGGGGACTAAGGGACTAGGGTTAAAGTGGTTTGAGGGTTGGAAGCCTGAGGAGAAGCTCGCTGTGTACAATTTCAGGGTGGGTTTAGGGCTTGAGGGATAATCCAGGAGGGGAGGGCGGCTTCGGAGACTCCGATGACAAGGTCGCGGGCTTGGCACTCTTAAACCTTCTGAGCCCTGATGTCGAGGACCGCAAGCTCATGAAGCCTCTGGCCAAAACGTGAATCTAGAGGGCTCCTGTGATCCTCAGTGCAGCCACACCTATATCAGGAAACGGTCAGGGTTTGTTGCTGAGCAAAGATTCATTCGGTGCACTCGGACAGTATCCACTTGCTCATGCAACATCTCTGAATCCCTGAAAGCCGACCCGCGTCCCTGTCAAATCCCCTGACAGCAGCGTACATTTTGGCAGACTTGGCTCGTGCGCCTGTGTCGGGGCCCACGGCTTGGAGGCTTTGTAGCCTCAGCAGTGCCATGTAACTTTCTTAGAATCATACTTGACCTCAGAACGATCACTCACCACCCAAATAGTCAATAGAGCTTGAGGGCGTGACAGCTCACAAGATCTTGGCATTCTGGCAATATACGTCCTACAGGCGCAGGCCGCAAGAGCAAGGGCAGCATAAAGTCCCTCGAAAACAACACCGAGGAACTTTCAGGAATTCGCCGGGCATGGACGCCCTGGTCTGCAAGTTCTGCAGCATGCAAGGGCCTGAATTAATCTGAGCACAATGGATTGTTGGTTGTATTTGTCCAATGGCTTCGGAAGCAGTTTTAATCGATGCCCAACCAAAGCTTGGGCTGCTGACCGATGTGCTTGATGGAGTTGTATATGGCTACCAGCCTCCTGTCTGCCCAAGGTTCGAGCACGACACCTTGACTTATCGTTAGGATTGAAGAGTGACTAGAGAGTCGCCGTAATTAGCAATGCTGCTTTCCTGAATGGCATTTGCTGGGATCACGGCCACAGGCGAAGCTGCAAAGTGACAGCCTGACAGTTGATGCTTCTGCAAGCTGCCTTTTCCCTATGCACGACCTGGTGACTTTTGTTTTCTCATCCTGCGCTCCACTCATAGAGTTCATGGTCTTCGAAAAGACCAGGTGTGAAGGCAAGTAGTTCAGAAACGCAGGGTTCGCAAGTTCACATGATGGTGCTGTGGCATGTGCGATGGTCTACAGTACATTCTACTTGAGTTTACCCTAAAAGTGGCCGAGTGAAGAAGTGGTGCAGTTTCCGCAGCCTTCTGGCTCTTTTGCTGCAACATGCAAGTCAAGATGGCTTTCTGTGCTGGGACACAGGTGCAGCTCACTGGCCCCCCCCCGAGCCCAGTTGAATGGCCAGGGGGGGCACATCCTTCCTTTTGACGGCAGCCCAATGCGGCTGCCGGTCCAGTTGGCCAGTGGCCAAATTTTCCAGGTGCCGCCCAGCAAACCTTGTCGCCTCTGGGCCCATGGCGTTTCCAGCGGTGGAGCCCCCCCAGCAGCTTGTAGCTGCAAGCGCTGGGGAGCTGGCGCGGTCGTTCAGCGTGGCGGAGGCCGTGACAAAACCGCGCAGTCGTAGAAGTCCCGGGGCTACCTCGTATCACCAGGGGTTTTACGCATCAACAGGTGTCCTCACTCGGCGGAAGCCTTACAGACAGTATAAACGCTCATCAAGCTGAAAATCCCAGCGCCCAGAGGCAAGCACATTGATTTTGAGTCTTGAAATGCCCAGTCAGTGCCCAAGAATGCTGCATGCACCTCAGCGTCGGCAGCTATGCTCCTCCTCGAACCAGCGTCTAACTCGGGTTTAGCAAAGTCTGATGTCAAATTTCCCTTTCGATGTGCATTCCTCCTAAACCAGCGTCTGCCGGCATTGGTGTGTATTCTCGCCAGCTGATGTGAGATATACCCACATCCCCCATCCTTGGTTTATTGCAGAATGGGTGCACGTACGTATTTTGAAACGACGCTTTTACCCGAGCTTCTCCATAGAATCCCGGCCTACCATATAGCCTTCAATTGTATTTCAGTCAGCCGCTTTGCAACTGCTCCCGTCTATTTTAAAGCGGCTTCAGCAAGGATATGACATTGAGACGTTTCCCCCCCGTGTGGGGTTGCGATATTGTTCTTTCGCATAAGATTGTGTGTGTGTGTGTGTGTGTGTGTGTCTGTGTGTGTGTGTGTGCACATGTGTGTTTGTACGACAGAAACAGCCATTCCCATGTTGGACAGTGTGCTGGCTGCTAGGTCATCTGTGGAGATGGCAACTGCCAATTCAACAGCTTTGCCTTCTGCCTTGGCGGTATATGCCACGAGGAAACTGCACCGTGCATTGCTGTCAGTTCATGCAGGGTCAATATGTGCAAAAGCTTGAAACAGTCTTAGTTTTGATGCAAGAGCTAGCGTTTCGTCACTCTCCGGAAGAACGAAGGAGGCCCGCCGCGAAGCTTGCAGATGGCTCGAGTGCCACTGGTCGGAGACACTCGTCACAGTTAGGGTGTGTTGCAGTTCTGCTGCCTGTTTGGCTGAGTTTCCTGTACCCTTGGCCGATGCTTCTGTCTCTGCATCGAGCCACAAGCCGCACAATCCGCGCAAGCCTTGACCCCGGTCAGCCTGAGGTTCCGCGATTTCATCTTCGAGGACGACTACCTCGAAAGGACCTCAAAGCATGAAAGCATGAACAAGAACGGGTTTCTACATACTCTCGCTGCAAAGATATTTCTCTCACCGGGTCACTATCAATTGGCCCTCACGGGGATGAAAGAAACATCGGCATTGTCTCGTCAGCCCCAACTCGGGTGGATTTGCTCGTGAAGCACAGTCGGAGAAGAGTGTCGGGAACAGCAAATGTGGTGAAGACTCCTGATTGTTTTGCTTCCGGCGCGGCAGGATGCAGTGCGACGGCCAGTGGGGCGACTTCATCACTTTGCAGGAGCAGTGAAGGACACATTCCATATATGATCGGCTCATGCCAGGTCAGGGTCCAATCACAAAGGAAGACCAGACTGCTCCATCCTGAACCGCAAAAGCAACCACTCACCTAAGCTGTAACCACGACATCCATAGATGTCCGCTTGTAGATGTGACGGGCTATTTGTTGAAGATGGCGCCGGCTCTTGACTCAGCACGATGCCGCAGAGCAGGAAGGCCACAACACCACAAAGCAGAGTGGGGCATGGTGAGGGGCGTGGAGCTGGGGGATTGATGCGATGGGCAACCAACGTTGGGCAGGTGAAGTGGTGGAGGGTTGAGCGGCTGAAGTTCCGGCAGCTGCATTCGGCGTGCGGAGAATATGTTTAGCTCAGGTAAATGCTTTTGATTTGATTCGGAGGCGCTGGCACAGTCCTACGGCAGAGACATCCATTGCATCACCGAGACGGGTGACACCAACACCATCGAGGTCAGGAGTACCCATTTGGGTCCTCCGGTGGTGCTTGTCTACTACCAGGACAGCTTGGGGGGGTTTGGGGCTTGTGCAGAAACCCACTTTTGGCCCATTGCGCTTCATGTCTCCCGCCCCACAAGGCTAGGTGCCTAGGATTCGTGTTCGCTGTTGTGTTGACGCTGTTGGGATTGTTTGCTTAGACTGTGTCTGCAAGTGGCTTCGGCTCCCGGAGTGCTCCCGGCATCTAAGATCGCAGATGCGTCTCTTGCACGCGAGATGCGGGTGGGTTTTCCGGGCTACCAAACCGACTGAGAGAACGCGTTTTGCTTCGCCGCGCTCAGCAAGGTGTCTTGAAGCTGTGCCTTGTTGCACGTTCAACTAAATTCGTCTCGTCCTTGCTCGGCTATGGCTGTCGTAAGGCTTGCTACGAGGTCTCCCGATGGTTTTGAAGTCTTGACCTGATGGAGTCTTGTGCATGTGCATGCTCAACTTGAGCGTCGACATGCACCTGGAGAATGACCGGTTGTGTGATGCATCTTCTTTTCCAGTGCCGAGAGATACTCTACATATGAAGGGCCAAGCCTGTCTGTGTTGTTGATGTGACCAAGATGTGACCCCTGAGCATACCCCTTTAGGCTGCTGTGACTAACAATGGGGCGACACTCACGGCTCGCGTCTTTGATTACGCCCTCTGCGTCGACATCATCGTCCCTCCATGTTGTTTCGACTGCTTCAGATGCGCTGCACCAGGACTGGAGCCAGCTGGTGCGAGTGGCTTGGCTGACCATATAGAAGGATGCGGGGTTTCAGTCTTCAAGATGTGAAAGTTTATATCTTTGTCGTCGGGGCTGTACGATGAACAGTGAACAGCTGAAGGCCTGGAGGGTGCGAAATTTAGGGCAGGTTGTTGCACAAAGGCTTGTCCCAAAGTCGGACCCTGGTGTTTCTGAGCGTGATGTGCGGCTCAAGCCGCGACGCAAGCTCCCAATGCTGTATACAAGTAGCTTCCGACAAATTTATTTAAACATTGTCATAGGTTTTCAGATTGAGTCATTGAAGGAGTTGGTAAGCCTTGCATCCGCAATCCTCCATTTCCGGATTCCAAAGTGCACTGAGCCCATGAACTTCTCGCTTGAGCGCAAGGATATGTGGTGGTAGGGCTTTTAACATGCAAGCACATGTAGCGCCGGCTGAATTTGAACAGGCTGAACTTGAACAGCCGCGGCATTGCCGGAACATGCAAATTGATTCAGCCGGAGCCAGTCTCTCAGGCCAAATGCTTCAACGCTGTTTGTTCAAGACGGGTGTGCTTCAAGATATTGAGCAGCTGAACTTTGTAATAAAGCCCTAAAATCGAAGTGGGGGGCGTGACTGTTTCAAAGCATTTTGAGGCCTGTCGCAAGAAACCCGACGTGGCACCGAAGCTCCGTCAGAGGCTTCGGGAAGGGAGCGAGGTTAAAGCGGTCCAGCTGAAGGCAACAACGATGATTACAGTTTGGGGCTTCATGTTCGAGGTTTGGGTGATAGATCCAGGGTTCAGCATGAACAGAACCGCAGTGATAGCGTGAGGTCCACATGGTCATATAGCAAACTGAATGGGCCAGGGCGCCAGAGTTTGGGGTTGTACTGGGTTGTCTCGTTTGTTGCGGTTGCGGAGCACGTTTATTTGCTTTTTTGGCAAAGGTCACTCGTTGCGAGGTTTCGGTAGCACCGGATGCACATCAGGAAACGAAGATGATCATATATAGCATGTTCCACACATAACTCTCCACAAGCGTGTTGGCCCGTCGGCTCAAACTAAGAGCAGTAGATAATGGTAGGTCCATGAACCGAGAGTGCCGAGAATTTATTGTCCGGGTTGTGTCTGAGGTGTCGTCGCCAAGAATGCTTGTTGAGCACCGCACCATCGCAGGTGCCACGACGACGCAGCTTTGTCGTGTCCTCGGACCTTGGACCAGTCCTATTAACCGTGGTCAGCTTCAGGCCGTGCAGCAGAAACCCCAAAGTTTGTGGCTGTTTTTTTGGGGGAACATCTGGCGATGTGAGTGGTGATGCTGACAAAAAGCCTGTAAACATCCGAGGCTTGAGCCCTGATCTGTGCACCTCAAGCCCTGTAAACTTGAAGCCTGCCGAAGCCTAAATGCTGAAGCCTTGAATAAGCCTTCAGGAGTTCCAGATCTCACCATGACTATGAAGCCTGAGACGAAAAACTAAACCCCAAACTATCCCAAGCTGTAGGAGTCTTTAGAACCATAGGCTGGTACAGATGGAGCTTCGCGAGCCGCTGCCTCGCAGTTTCCGAAGTCGGAGTGTTGTTTCGGGGGAGTTTGGCATGCTGGGTGACTGGGTGGTCGGCTCCATCGGCAGAGGGTTCGAGCTTTACGCTGCAAGATCGGGCCTGGTCCCTGTTGCGTGGCTCACGTGCTCCACACTTTTTAGTCCAGGCCAGCACGTTTATGCCTGAACACAGGTCTAACAACACGGTGCATAGTTGTGCTTTCGGCCCAAGAGGCCCACTCCCAACCTCGCCCAGATTGTCGGCCCCGAGCGTCTTCCGTTATGTGCGTCCAATTGCATCATCTCAGTTGCACGGTGGCAGGTCAACGAAAGACGAATGGAATGAAGCCACCTTCGGCAACACCCGCCGTGCCCTGATTTGCTGGTTTCTGCCCGTCGCAGCCCTGGAAAGCCCAAACAAAGAACTTCAAGCATTTGAAGCTCAAGTTTTCACGGGCCCCGCAGCATGTTGTGCAGTTTCAGTTTGAACATTTTGTGCCATGACGTTGGAGGTTAGCCAAATTCCCCAATGTAAGCCTGAGATGTTGAATCATTGGCTCTAAAGTCACGGACCTTGTGTCTGCTCGGGGTGCCTTTGACGAGGTGGTTGGTCTTTCGAAGAGGCATTGTGGCTTTCAGGGAAAGTTTTCATGCGGTGTTGGCCAGCGCTTCAGGGGAAGGTCTGGTGCTAGGGCAGCACGGTTGCACAAAGGCATGGCTCCGGACTGTCAAACGTGGAGTCGCATTCTTGACTCGGGTTTCGTTTCGGCGGCATGCTTCGCCGCAGAAGTGGTATGCAGATGCTCATGCGTGAGAAGTTCTTTTTTTGGAGGCGCTCGCTGCAAACGAGGCTATCTGGGAGGCGGAGAAGGTGCTGGTGAGTTGCGGGAACAGTGTTCGGTTGTTGTTGTTGCTACTTCTGTTACAATAGTTCTAGATCGCCATGTCTCTGTCCATGAATATTTGGACACCTCTACCAGTTCTGTGTATATATAATGTGTGTGTATGTGTATATATATACATATGTATCGCTGATACTGCTGATACAATAGCTGTAGGTCACCATGTCTCTGTACATACCAATATTTAAACACCTCTACCGTGTGTATATGTATACATATACAGATGTATATGTGTGTATATATATGTGTGTATTTTTGTATATATATATATATACACGCACATGTACATGCTAGACTCTTTCCATTGCCTGCACTGTTTTGTTTAGGGTTTCAATCTTCTTGCTACTGTCGCCATTACTGTTAATATACAATGTACCTGTGTACAAACATGAGTACATGTAAGTCTTTATACACAGAACAAGATCAATATACATATATATATATATATATGTATGTCTATATGCTAGCCCCACTAGGACCAAGCCAATGAACAGCGCGATAACATGATGCGAGGTTTAGAGCTAAAGGCGACTCAGTATTCAAAGTATTTAGCACGAGCTGGTACTATGCAAAGTGCTTATCACGAGCGATGAAGAAGAAGTGCTAGTATGAAGTATTTCAAACACAACTTACACTTATTCTTCGTACGTACTGTGAAGTAGTACTGCTAGCAAGAACGGGTATTTAGTATTCTTCGTACATATCATCGTTAGCATTCGTAAAGATGCCGTTCATGGGCTAGCACCGCTGCTTATATGTATTCAGCAGTACTATAGTAGTTTGTTGGCACTAGTATCTGTTGGTAATTGCTACAATTCAATGCCACGAGTAAGTTAAGGCTACGTTTATGACGAGCACTATACTAGAGTACTAGTTTTTTGAAGTTGTTGTCATAGCAATTGCTAGAACTTAGTCGTACTTCCCACTAATACGTTCCCACCAGACATGTTAAATAAGTTTGCTATTGACTTAAACCTGGTACAGCTTTAGAAGGAGTAGTGTTGAATACTGGTTGTGGCTAACTACTAACTACTATCAAGAGTACTTGCCACTATTACTTTTAAAATAGTTAGCTTGTCACCAGTAGCACTTGAATTCAGTTAGTACTTGCTGATAGCGCCCACTAGCCAGCAGTGCATTGTGCTATAGTCTATGATACTTGCCAGTAGTACTTTCTCTTCAGATCTCAAAAAGGGAAACAGTAAAACCACTATTACTACCTCGCCTGGGATTTTTGGTATGGGTCCTTCGTAGTCGTTCTGTCTGAAACGAGTATTTACTGTTAGCACTTATAGGTGGAGGCACACCAATACGACCGACCTGGGGTGCTTTTCATGATGCAAACGAGAAGTACTTGCTAAGGCTACCAACTAGTTGCGTTTCAACATTGGGTTTTGTCAACTACAAATGCTCAAAAGCTGTACCTACTGATACCTGCCAGCAGTACTTACTGAAAACACCTTGTTTACAACAAGTAGCATGAGCACATGTTAGTACCCAAGACTGTCCACCGCTAATCACTACTATTTTGCTATACCTTAGTCTGTGGTCAACAAGACTAACTAAGGGTGCTTCTTATAAGGCTTACTGGTCGTCTTCCCAAAGGTTGTTAACAAGTTCCATTAAATATTAGTTTCTGATAACTGCAAGGCCTCATTGTTGCTGCTTACACCGAGTTCTCACCAAGAGTGTTTGCCGCTGGAATTTTGCAACAGCACTTAGTTGACTGCCAATAGCACTTGCATTAGCTAGCATTTACCAAAAGCCGCATCTAGTTGTTTTGATATAATGCAGGATGTTCGTGTCGGGGCTTCAAGCTACCACTGGGAGGTGTTCGGCATAAGCAAACTGTTTTCGGGAACTAACGAGGCAAAATGCACGTTGGATTTCGGACAACGATGGGAATGGCTTTGCGATCACCTTCAAAAATGAGTGATATGAAATGGCTGCCGCCGCTGCCGCCGACCCCAAAGCTGCCTGACGTAACATCCGAAAGCGGACGACTGCAAGCGGGCATGATTGCAGAGGGCTACATGGGTTGTCAGACAATGGGACGCTGCGGGTTCCCAAGGAGTTGCGGGCGCTTGGGGCCAGGTGGAACTGCGTCAGGCTGGCTGGGGCCGTCGAATGAACGAATACTACTGCTACAGCACATATTGCCAGACGGCTAGGGGTAGCGAGGAGGGAGGGTTGGGCATGCATGGGCTCTACACAGCTTGGGGCCGGGTGGGGGGATTGAGCATACTCTTAGTGGGCGCGGGGCCTTTTGGGGGGTGGGCATGCACTGGGCTCCAACACACAAAACACAGAGTCTGGCCGTTCTGCAGGGGCAAGGGAAGGACTCGGATATGCAAGTGGCCGCAAGGGTAGGAGGGCTGAGCCGCGGGCGCTTGGGGCCGAGTTGAACTGAGTCGGGCTGGTGGGGCCGGGCATGCAATTGAATTAACAACAAATAATAACAACAACAAACTACTACTATTACTACTACTATTACTACTACTACTACTACTACTACTACTACTACTACTACTACTACTACTACTACTACTACTACTACCACTACCACTACCACTACCACTACCACTACCACTACCACTACCACTACCACTACCACTACCACTACCACTACTACTACTACTACTACTACTACTACTACTACTACTACTACTACTACTACTACAGCGCACACGCATACTACTAGACGGCTAAGGGTCTGGGCCGGCGTTACCACAGCGGGCCATGTGGGGCCAGAGAAAAATGGAAGGAACTTGGGTCTGCAGCGGGGCAACGAAGCTAAGGGGGCTGAGTCGGGCTGAGCGGCTGGCGCTTGGGTTGGGCCGGGTAAGGGATTGGGCATACTCTTGGTGGGCGATGGGCCTTTTGGAGGGGTTGGGCATGCATTGGGCTCGAATTAATGAATACTGTTACAGCACATCTGCCAGACGGCTAGGGCTAGGGGTAGCTAGTGGGGAGGGTTGCGCATGCGTGCATTCTACACAGGAATCTGCAGGGCAACGGGAATGCAGGAGGGCAGAAAGGGTAGGGCTGCAGGGGAGCGGTGTGCACTTGGGGCCGGGTTGAACTGGGTCGTTTTGGGCTGAGGGGATTAAATTGAACATACTCTTTGTGGGCCTTTCAGGAGGTTTGGGCATGCATAGGGCTCGAATTAGCTAGTACGAGTATTACTGAACAAGTACTACTAATTACACATACTAAAATACAAGAAGGCTACGGGTTTGGGCCCAAGTATGCTGTGGTGGGAGGCGCCTGGGCCGGAGTGTGTCGCGGTGGGTCGGGTGGGGCCGGGCGGGGGTTGGGCATGCATTGGCCTCGAATTACGGAACAGTGTCGCAAGCCTTGTTTCGGCACAGTCTTTCACATCCACTGTGCAAGCTTTTTTCAGGAAACACACTTTGAAACTACTACCTTAATAAGAGTTTCGGAGATTTTCTTGGTTGTGAGAGCATGCTGTTGTTTGAGTACGCATTTCTGCATCCGCCCTTGATTTTGTGTATCTGTGTATGGTATAGTATACTTTGTAAATTTCAACGACAGTGTAAGTTTTTGACGCCAACGTCCACCCGTGAGTTGCTGTATCTTTGTATGGTAGCCTGCAAACTTCAAAGACACTGTAAGTGTGTAACGCCAGCGTCCACCCGTGAATTTTGGCATATTTGTATGGTAGACTTTGCATATTTCAAGGACACTGTAAGTTTCTATCGCCAACGTCTACCCTTGAATTTGCTGTGTCTCCAATGTCTTTGTACGGTAGACTTCGCACAGTTCAATAAACATTGTAAGCTGTATCGCCAACGTCCCCCTGTGAGTTTTTGTAGCTTTGTATGGTATATATACCTTGCAAATATCAAGTTTCACTCTAAGTTTGTAACGCCAACGTCCACCCTTGGATCTATGTGTTGTTGTATGGTAGACTTTTGCAAATCTCCAGGACATTAACAGTTTGTAACGCCAACGTCCACCCTTGAATGTTGGTATCTTTGTATGGTAGTATCGCAAACTTCAAGGACACTGTAAGCTGGTCAGGCCAACGTCCACCCTTGAAATTTTGTATCTATGTATGGTAGACTTTGCAGATTTTAAGTAAGAACTTTGTAAGCTTGTAACGCCAACGTCTACCCCTGAATTCTGGTATCTTTGTATGGTAGACTTTGCAAGTTTCAAGGACACTGTAAGTTCGTAACGCCAACATCCACCCCTGAGTTGTTGTATCTGTGTATGGTAGACTTTGCAAATTTCACACACACTCTAAGTTTGCCACGCCAACGTCCACTCTGAGTTTTTGTATCTTTCTATGGTAGACTGTGCAAGTTTCAAGGACACTCTAATTTGTAACGCCATGGTCCACAGTTGAACTTTTGTCTTTGAGTACGGTAGACTTTAACACTTGAAATATTGTATCTTTGTATGGTATAAGCCGCAAATATCACGGACACTGTATGTTTGTAACGCCAGCGTCCAACCTTGAAATTTGGTATCTTTGTAGTATGGTAGACATGGGCAAATTCAATCACATTGGAGGTTCGTAACGCCAACGTCCACCCTTTAATTTTGGTATCTTTGTATGGTAGACTTTCCAAATTCCAGGGACAGTGTAAGTAGTTTGCAACACCAACGTCCACCCTGGAATTTCTGTATCTCTGTATGGTATCGACTTTGCGAATATCACGAACAGTGTAAGTATTTTGTAACGCCAACGTCCGCCCTTGAATTCTGTATCTTTGCATGGTAGACCTTGCAAACTTGAAGGGAATTGTAAGTTTGTAACGACAAAGTTGACCCTTGGTTTTGTTGTATCTTTGTACCGTAGACGTTGCAAACTTCAAGCACACGGTAAGTTTATGATACCAATGTCCACCCTTGAGTTGCTGTATCTTTGTATGATAGACATTGCAAATTTCAAGGACGCTGTAAGTTTGTAACGCCATTGTCCACCCTTGAATTTTTGTAT